TTTTCGGGTAATATTAATCAATGCCTTCTGGCAATTTTCTTAATTATACTTTTTGAAACCATATACTGTTATTTGGTTGGGTTTTGAGCAAAAAATTGACTTTGTATGCATCTTTAATAGACCTATTTTAAATAAGCACGCGTTACTGCAAGGAAAGACACCAAGCGTTCGAGCAGACTGCTCCACGCCTTCAACAGCTCCACACGTTTACAAGGGGAAGTGTTAAGCCAAATTGTTGAGCCTTGTAATAAACTTATGGGACCGGTGAAACTAATCACATAGCTAAAAGTGCGACACTTCTAAGAATGTTAAACATTTTAATTTCTTCTGAAAGAAGCTTGAAAAGCTAAACTAGTTGTTCAGCTACCCTCAACCAGGGCGACAGATTGATTTTTCACAGATATTCACAGATATGTCTCTAGATAAATAGATAGTCAATTTGGTCTGATGTCGCCTCAGCAAAAAATGGCCCCAAGAACTGCGGCCTTGGTAGAGGGTATTGTTCAGCAGCTCCACGCGTTTAGGAATTCCACACCTATAGCAGCTCCATATGTTTAGCAGCCTCACGCGCTTAGCAGGGGAAGTGCTTAGCCAATGTGCTTAGCTTGTGATAGACTTATTATAGATCCATATACCGGTGAAGCTAAGCACATAGCTAAACGTGTAACACTGCCGACGTGTCTAGCATTTTCTTCTGTGAAACGCTTGAAAAGCTATACGTGCTTAGCTTTTACACATATTTCTAAATGCGTATAGGTGCTTAACGTATGTTGTATGTATTTAAATGCTAAGCACTGTTTTTACAGTGTAGTGCCACTAAAATATTTTCGTAATCATTGAAGTAAAAATTATTTTATCATATCCCATCAATCGACAGCGGAGTATTCGATTACAAGTTTTCCACATGCACACCGATCTTCGGCAAGCGATGCCATCTGCACAACTTGTACATGTACTATGCCTTCATTACGTATACCCTAACACACTTCGGGTGTAAACTATTTTGTTCCTTTAGGCCAAATTTTGATGCTGGGAATTGTATTCTATTATTTTTATTACAGTATATAATTAAAAGGTTTTTTGTCACACCTACAAGTATATTAAAGGCAACGTAACAGACAGCTCCAGTCTGATTAGATCGATAAGAAAAGGGGAATCCCCCCTTATTCTACAACTCAGAGCCATGGTGAAGTAGAGATCAATAGATACTGTTTATCGACAATGGATACGGCTTCTAAGGTAAACAATTCAACGGGTTGACACACATATGGCAGCCATTTTTCTGATTATTCAAGCATAGTCGCCGACAAAGAAGAATTCTGCTTGCTAATACCCCCTTTACACTGGACGGCGTCCTTTCTGCGACCATGAAATTTGGCATCGCTGTGGTCTTAATAAGGAGGCACGAGCATTGATTTGGTATCAGAATGAATGCTCAATGATCGGCCAGTTGTCGGCACGTAAAGTATTATAATTCTTTAACTCTCAAATGGGGCCGAACTGCTGGACGCAGAAGGGACGCCGTCCAGTGTAAAGGGGGCTTAACGCAAGTATATTTATAAAACAAAACAGGGTACGTGGACATGGCTCAAACGATTAAAGACTATATAAACACGCTATAAGGCAGGTTTGATCGTATAGATATTAAATCAGAAAATACATATAGCGTATTGACCTATTTTTATGAACATCTCAAAACGGACCACCTTAACGATGGTACAAGTGGAAAATATCAGTACGGACAAGGCACAAAAACAATCATAGACTCCCCACTTCCCTGTCCTGTTGGGGCCTGGAAATATGACAAACAGTCAACCTGAATCGTTCACCCTGAACAAAGACAACGAGAACTATTTCCGTCTCCTAAAGCTAGTCTTTAAATTAGGCACTCCGGCAGTACACCAAGTGCTGAGCACGCATCTTAAGGACAGTAATCCCGGACAAGCATATGACCCCAAAACAAGAAAACTAAGGACGATCTTAAGAAAAACCAACGTGGTGAAAACCCTCAAGGCTTGTCACAGCGGAGAGAACCCTCCTCTGACTGACGGGCAGTGGGATCTTTTGTACCCTGTCTCCACAAACCAGGGTAGAAGGCACAAGGCTTCGGAGGATGTATCAGTGGATGATCTTGATATCACGTTATCAATCATCTTACTTCGGTACATCACAAGGTTAAACCCTGCAGATGACGACTGGGACCCTGCTAACCTAAACCACGAAGAAGGGACTGTTCCTCCCACTATTCCAGCTAAACTAATGACCATCAAAAGATACAGGGACAGATTAGCACATGCCCAGGCTGCAGAGATCTCTGATGATGAACTGTGTGCAAGTTTCTATGCTGTCAAAAACATACTGATATCTCTGTCAGACTTGTATAAAATTGAAGACTTAGACTCCATTCACTCAGAGTCTATAACGGATGTGCTCAGAAGACTAAACTGGGCACAATTCGGGGAAGATTTTGATCGAACATTGTTGACAACGTTGGAAGAAGCAATAAGAACAAAATGTGGAAAACTTGAAATGCCACAGTCGAGCAGTAAGGAAAGTCCGGTAAGGGTTCTCGTTCTCTCTCTCTCTCTCCTTTCAATACCTTTATTTACTGCTTTATGTTCCTCTAATGTATATATGTTCACATCTTTTAGGTTGATCGGAACCCAGGGAAAAGTGTCGTGTGCACACTGTTATGAACAAATAAACATTCAATACGGATATTAAAGACAGGTTCTCACAATATAAGAAGAAAAAAGACACGCTCGCAATTTCTAGGTGCGACAACTGGTGGCAAAGGAAGACAAACGGATATGATGAGACACGTATAAAACTGATTTTTCTGAAAACAAAGCATCGTAGTAAAACAATTTAGAGAGAGTGAAGATTTAGTTTAAATTATTGTTTATCTTTTTATCAAGAGCTTCTAAAATATGTAGGTATTACCTCCAATATTTATGTGACTGTCAGTCACCATCATCAGGGAGTAAATGACTCAGGGAGTGAATTTCTCCCTGATGATGGTGAGTTACAGTCACAGAAATATTGGAGGTAATACCTACATATTTTAGAAGCTCTTCATAAAAAGAAAAACAATAATTTAAATTGATACATACAGAGCTAATGAAACTCTTCTCTCATGCGAAGATGTAGTATTTTTTACAGATTGTGATGAATTGTCTAGCAGTCCCCTTTAATTTCTAGGCGATATATATATGAAAGAATGTAAGTGTAGTTCAGTATTAGGACCAATCTTTCCATACTGGTTGACTTATCTATTGAAAAAGCGCACGTACGCCCCAGTACACTGTAGGTGTTCTGGCAAGACGGTGTTCTGGCTAGTTCTGGCAAGACGGTGACACTAAAAGACTTATTGCCATGTACAAGTATACACGTGGCTCAGCAAAGGTCTGGATGGCTGTATAGCACATTGAAACGAGCTAAGAAAGGAAGTTGTTGATTTGCTTGCATCTCAGCCCTCCCCCACCCTTATTAGAAACAGTGTCTATATACCGTTGTAATAAATGTTGTTGAAATTAATACCCATGTTATTTCTCTTGTACATGTACATGTTAATATGTTTAAAAGAAGGGGGCACGACACTCATCCTTTCGAGAATGTGCGTTGAAGTACGAAAGGGCCTCATACTCACAGTTGGTTAATAGGTCCTCATCGTTATTCATCCAAAATGTTTGTGCTTCCCCCTTTGTACCCAGTACGTGTATTGCCCACCTAGAAGTCTGTGATCCACGTGACCGGTTCCCAGGGCACTGAAGCACAGTCAGTCTCCACCAGGTGGACAGGACGATACAGCTATACAACCTGATGATCTAGTCCAATAAATTCCTCAAGGATATTACGTTTTTAATACTGAGAACGCTAACGCTGAAATCAACGAGTGAAGTTCAAATCAACGCTGTGAACATGTATGTTCATGTCCTGTGCACTGCAAGCATGTGTTACTTTCTGAAACCTGCCCGTGTCTAAAAAACCGATCTAGTGAGCCTGTTATATAGTGGATGGATTCGTAAAAAAACCCATCGATTCTTTGAAATACCATTGGTATTTCTTTGCCTCGGTTTCGTTTTCAATATCTCCCTATACATACCTTTGTCAGTGGGTAATTTTTATTCCAAAAATAGAAACTGAAACCGACTTACGATGCTGGCATATGTGTACATCCGCGCGGACTATTTGCTTATAATTTAAATAACGAACGTAACAAATGTTATGTTTTGTGGATCTGATGGACAAATGAATCATATACTGTTCCAGTCATCTTAATGCAATTTTGGAAATAAAGAACTATATCATTGGATTTATCATCGTGGAAATATGACCCGAGGAACATGCCCTCTTGTACATGAATCGATTGCTAGTATATGAAAGGTACAGTTTATACTATCTGCGTTTGATAACATATTTCCCAATTCAGGACTTAAAAACTATAAAACCCCGCAGATAAAATGTCTAATTCCCATATCCCCTCTCTAAATGCTGGAAAACATGCCGATCTAAACGTTACGAGAAATATTCATTCAATTAGAATTATGGAATAAAACATGAGATCAAAGTGCAGGAAAAGTTGAACTGTGATTCAGGAGTAAGATAAAATTGCTTTTTCCAAGGAAATTTTGGTGGGAAAATCCCGGATAGAATATCCTTACGCTGGTGGGCACTTTTGGACTGCCAGAGCAAGGTATTTTGAAATAGGAAGTAATTAAACCACTTATTGAAGATATTGTAACCCTTTATTATCATCCAGAGACCGAAAATGAGGTTTTCCCAGTATCGAATTATTCAATAATGCATCTATATTTCTGATGATTTAAATCAGTAAAAAAAACCTTCGGAAACATCAATATTAGCGCTTATAATTCTCATTGCAATGTATAAGCATAGGAATTGTTAAAATACCTTTCTTTTGTGAGGTGAGATAGTAGTCGGTATGGGGCGTAACTCCATCCCTGAACAAGATTTTATCACAAAAATTGGCATTGTTGTCCACGAGTGTATGGGCGTGTCGTCATTTTGTTTTATTATTTATTTTTTGCTATGGAGTTATGAGGCTCTAATTACAGATTTTCATTAAAGAAAGGGATTATTTTGCTTTATCAACGATAAAATCTAAACTAAGTCTTTATCAACGATAAAATCTAAACTAAGTCTTTAAAGAAAAATCGATGGCAGGGCTTTGAAGCACTAAATGGCGTCATTAAATTTGCTTGGAAACGATGATGGTGGATGCTCAGGTCAAAGAGATATTTGAGGAACTGCTTTTTCAGTTTTTATCCCCAAATCGCAATTATGATGTGACCCGTTAGATGACATGTGTAAATGTTAATTAATTTAGTCAATGAACACTGAAGATGGATCTTTTACCCAAAAGAATGTGTGTAAGGCAGTAAATTAGGAGTTTTGGGCGAAGGGTGACAATATCCTCAAGCATCTGTCACATTTTAAAAGCATAAAGTAATATTTGCTTAATTTTTTTAACCTGGTTAAGTTTTCGTCTTATGTTTTTTTCTTTACTGCAGCACAAATATCGAATTCTGTTTCATATTTAGCGTTCATATTAGAGACTTACAAAATGATAAATTTTGATTTTGAAACGGAGAGTATATCTAGCGACAATTAACAGACAATAACATCCTGATCACATCTGTAATTCTTTTGTCTTTACAATTAATTAATCAATGAGAAAAACATATATGCCAGAAATGGACAATGGCAGTTATGTTCCCTTTAATATACAGATTCCTTGTTTGTAAAATTCAACATGACAACACGCCCAAACAATCATATCAATAATTCATATTTTCATTAAGAATGGAAACAAAATATGTCACAAACATTATTCTGAAAAAAGTTACCAATTTGATGGATATCAATTCTATAGTAAAGAAAGTTATAAAAGTTCATAAAAAAGGAATATTTATTTAGCGTGTTCGTCCCAGAGCAGAGAAAGTTACTCAAAACCAGTCACTGGAGCAGCATATCAGTGATTCCAATCAAAAAATAAAAATGAATTTTGCTAATACAATAAATTAGCCCTGTGAGACATAAAAGCATGTTCTGATAACTTTCAGCATTTTCTTAAATATGGACTCTTTGATGTTTTCCTTCAGCATGCTCTTTGTTTCTGCCTCAATATACAGCAAATATGCTTGGCGATTCTTTTGCCAGTTCCTTCTCCTGTACAGTAAACATGGGGCTTTTCAAATTTCCAGTGATATGGGCAATAAATGTCTGCAGAAACGGGATACCTGCACCAGTCAAGGAACTAGAAATGAAAGAGGAAGAAAAAACAAAGATAAATGTCAATATTATCAGGTTTAAAAGCTCTGACTACAGCATGAATCAAACCTTAGTGAAAGTGTTCTACTTTCAGAAAATTACCAAGCAAAACAACAAAAATATTCACTCTTTTGACAAAATAAAAGTTTTGAGTTATGGGAAAAATTTGACTCATGATGTGCAAGACTTGACAGAATTGGGTAGACCAGAGTTGTGGTGCTTGGGAAAATACACTCTTACCTTACTACAAAGAGTTGTGGGAAGCAATTTCCTCCTGTCTGAATGTATGTTTGCTTAGTTTCCAAGAAAGTTTTCAGTAGCAGATGTGGTGAAAACCTGTCTATCTTCGTCAATACGATCTATGTATAAAAATAAATAAAAATATATAAATAATTATAAAAATATATCAAACAGCATATGAACAACAAGTGTGATAGGAAATGTGAAAGAAAAATTGTTAAACTAAAAAGCTATGATAATTCAAAAATACATGTATTTAACAACATCTATCATAGTTGTTAGGAATACATACTATGGTGCTGGCGTGAATATATTGAAAAGCATAAATATTTTAACAGTATGTGAAAACCAAAAGATGCCTACTTTTTTAACTATTAATTTCATAAATAAATACTGCATGTAAGTATAAATGTGTAACTGTCTTAAAGCAGTCCAAATCAAACTGTAGTTAAAAAAAAAAAAGGTAAAATATTTTCACTCAAAAAAATTATTAAACTGATTTCATTTTGAGGAGATTAAATTGGATCAAAAAAATACATAGATAATTGTACAGACTTCAAGACAACTTAGATGTAAATTATTTGACAAGCCTGATCAGATTTTAATCAGATTTTAAAAAAATTCTCACCACATAGGGTATTCCCATCTCACTAATCATATCCTTCCCAAGCTTGTCCACGGGATATCTAGTTGAGCCACTCTTCAGGCACAATGTCCGGCAAAGACTGTGAAAAAGTAAAAGCAGGGAAAATGCTGAATAAATATATGACCATTAACTCGGGAAGATATACTAACCAATGCAAATGTAAGTCAATGTGTCTAAAATATAGGAGTTCCAGGTAGAATCTAATGCATATTTTAATAGGACCAGTGTGCTTTCAGGTAAATTTCTGGTTTAGTCTAACAGCTAGGGACAACAGGCAAATCAAATTTTGAGCAAAACACTAATGGTTTGCGAAAAAAAAAAATTAATGTGCCTTCTGAGACACAGTAAATGATTTGGCGTATTTAGAAGAAATAATCTTATGAAAGTGTAAGCTTTGTGTACAAGTCAAGCACATGTCACTTCTCACTGTTGTGCTAAATATGAGTGAAATTCCCTCATAAACACAAATGTTCAAACATAAGCATATAAACACACAAATACAAGCTAACACACACACATTCTAACTTAAGGTCACAGGACAAAAATCACCACATAGCTGCCTTACTTCTTCCTGCTGGTCAGATATCCTTCCACCAGCTCATGGTAATTGGCAGGCATATTGTACCCAAACCCTGGAACATCCACTAGGCGGAATTTCCCATCAACATCAAAGAAGTTCAGCGTCTGAGTTTGTCCCTAAGGTATGAAAATAATGTTGTAAAATTAATGATGACTGATTCGTGAGTAAAATGTACAAAGAGAGCAGAAATTCCAAATATTCAAGTGCTGGTGCATTTCCAATAAAATTTCAACTTCTCAACATATCTTTGTTCCTATCATCTTCAGATATATCTTATGCTCCCATACTTTCAAAATACAATTCCTACATATTAACACAAACATTTGTAGAAGAATTTTTCTTTTTTGGTTAATTTTGAGACTTTACTACATACTGGTTTCTTTCCTGTCTTGACAATGTTTGGGGTGCTAGAAAATAGCGCCTGAAGAAGGGAGGATTTTCCGACATTACTCTTGCCAATTACTGCAACCTGAAAAGTTAAAGGCAAATTCATGGAAAATGAAAGGAACAAATGTGCGAGGCTCATTACTTTGTAAACACATACCAGGACCAAAAGCAAAGGTTTTTACTGCAGAAAATTAAAGACCCATACAAAGTGAACATACACACTCCTATTATTTAGATTTATAGTTTACTAATACTAAAACAGCATAGACTTTCTTATATTTTGAAAAAATCCATTTGGATGAANTTTTTAAAAAATCCATTTGGATGAAAAAAGAAACAATGAACCTGGTTGAAAACAACAACCTGGCCTTAAATTCTACATGTAGCTTTCCACTCACCTCTGGCACATTTTCATCAGGTAACTTATCCAGACTTGCCACACTCTTAATTAGCTTCACAGACTGAAATACCCCCTCCCCTTCCTTCACTGCCTCATCAGAAGGGGTGAACAGCTTCTCATTATCAGACAGTATAGGAGTGGCAACATAAGACTGGAGTTCTTTCACTGGGTCTATGAAAGCATCTTCAGGTAACTTTTTTGTCCAGTTTACTGCTTTCATTCTTTTCAGATAGTCTGTTTTAGAAACTTGTCTACTTAAAGTCTGTGATGTAGAAATGCTAGCTATACAAGTCATGGCGGGTTGTGGTGGGGAGTGAATACTTGGCATTGCCAATGGTCTTTCATTATGCCATGATAAAGTTGAAGCATGCATTTGAATACTCTGTCTATTCATATTCCGTATGTTTCTGCATACTGGTGGATATCTATGCAGGATGAATGTTAGACCAAAGATTCTTCCACTGTGAGTCAGGCATGCCATGATCGTTTTCCTCCCTGAAGAGTTCAGTTCTGAAACCCTAGAAAACAAAACAAAATGGTCCTTATATGTGAAACATATTAAGTCATAAATATCTTAAATTTATAAACTCTAGGTTCCGTTGTTGCTGTAAACACTGGCTGGCTATGTGCATGTAGTCTAGTTACTAGTAGTACACTGCACTGGAAATGAAGACTGAAGTAAATTATCTACAGTGACCAAGAGTTTTCACTAATCTGTCAATCACAAGCACCTGTACATACATTATATAGTTAAGAAATTCGAAGAAAAGTTTGAGACCAATAACGTAAGACAGCTATGGTCAAACATGTCATCACTCACTAAATACAAAGGTCCAAAACACGTACTGAGTGACGACGACACAGCACTTCCCGACAAGCTGAATGAATTTTACGCTAGGTTTGACATGGCCAACAACTCGGACTTAAGATCGGCTCCACTAAATGCACATCCACATGACCCACCGCCCCTTTCTGTTCAGAAATGGCAGGTTCAGTGNTTTTGAAAAAATCCATTTGGATGAAAAAAGAAACAATGAACCTGGTTGAAAACAACAACCTGGCCTTAAATTCTACATGTAGCTTTCCACTCACCTCTGGCACATTTTCATCAGGTAACTTATCCAGACTTGCCACACTCTTAATAAGCTTCACAGACTGAAATACCCCCTCCCCTTCCTTCACTGCCTCATCAGAAGGGGTGAACAGCTTCTCATTATCAGACAGTATAGGAGTGGCAACATAAGACTGGAGTTCTTTCACTGGGTCTATGAAAGCATCTTCAGCTAACTTTTTTGTCCAGTTTACTGCTTTCATTCTTTTCAGATAGTCTGTTTTAGAAACTTGTCTACTTAAAGTCTGTGATGTAGAAATGCTAGCTATACAAGTCATGGCGGGTTGTGGTGGGGAGTGAATACTTGGCATTGCCAATGGTCTGTCATTATGCCATGATAAAGTTGAAGCATGCATTTGAATACTCTGTCTATTCATATTCCGTATGTTTCTGCATACTGGTGGATATCTATGCAGGATGAATGTTAGACCAAAGATTCTTCCACTGTGAGTCAGGCATGCCATGATCGTTTTCCTCCCTGAAGAGTTCAGTTCTGAAACCCTAGAAAACAAAACAAAATGGTCCTTATATGTGAAACATATTAAGTCATAAATATCTTAAATTTATAAACTCTAGGTTCCGTTGTTGCTGTAAACACTGGCTGGCTATGTGCATGTAGTCTAGTTACTAGTAGTACACTGCACTGGCAATGAAGACTTAAGTAAATTATCTACAGTGACCAAGAGTTTTCACTAATCTGTCAATCACAAGCACCTGTACATACATTATATAGTTAACTAGTTACTCACCGACGATTATTTCGAATTATATATTTTATCTTTTATGTTAAAAGTCCTGTATCGGTAGCACCTTGTACAGGTAATTTTCGTATCTCCTAATTTAAAAGAGCTCAGGACAGCAAGACAGCCCACAAACCACGCGTAATTTATATAATCAGGCTATTCTTAATACACACAGTTATATAATAAATATATTTATTCTTAATACACACAGTTATATTATAAATATATTTATCGTACATGTTTTGTACCTTTCCAGCTAACATTTGAGTTTCCCTCCTGTAGCAGCTTCAAACGAAAATATGAACTATAGTAATTCGTTTACCAGGGGTGGACCCAGGATTATTTGAAGGGGGGGGGGGGGGGCGACAAGCTTCGGGTGCGAATCGTGGGGTTCCGAGCCCCGAAATATTTTTGGTGTTTTGGAGGGCAAACGGTGCCCTTTGGTGCGGTTAAGGGACTCTGATTCAGCTAGTCAAAATTCTAATTGAAAGAGGGGGAAATTGGTGTGATATACATTTTTCAGAAACCGAAGGGGGGGGAGGTCAGGACCCCCCTGGCCCCTCTAAATCCGCCACTGGTTTACGTTCACAAATAGTAGGCCTAATAACGAGCACCGTTATTCAACACTGACTTGACGTGTCTATTATTCTTCGCAGCAGACTGACTGAACCAGGGCACCGAGATGTGGGGTGTGAGGTCTCTTTGAACTCCTAGCTGTCTTCGAACGATCCTACCTAATAGAAAGCCTTCAAAAAATATTATTCCTGAGAAAATGCTTCCGTTGGCCTCATCGCGTGGTTTGTCTTTCTTCTTTTGTTTGTCTCTCTCCTCTTTAAATCGGCCATTTGGTTGGAAAACGAAGGGAGTTGTTCTCTGGGAAGTCTCTGTTGCTTGTGCTCTTCTACACACTGATTCGGTTTAAAGTGACGCTAATTTTGGGACATTTTTTGAAGACATTTATCTATGTTTTGCTTTGTATTCATACATGTAGGCCTACACTCTTCTGCTTGTGGTCAAGAACGTCAGACATCCTTAAGGTTCTTTTTTATTCTGTGCCATCTATTTCAAATTTATTAATTTTTTTTAAACTGTAAGTAGAATATTACAAGCCGAGCAATCCTTTTTTCACGTAGAACTCAATTCATTGCATATGGCGAGCACTTGGGTCTATCATGTATGTCAACCACAACTCGAGTAAAAAAGAAAAAAAATTTAAAATGTTTTCTCTTGATCGTTGATGCACTCTTGTAAATATGCACATAAGTGTCAAAATGAATTAAAAAAATACATCTGGAAGCCTTTCGCACGTCCAACGTTGGTAAAACTTTGATGTAAAGACGATATTTGTTTAAATTTTAACGAGTCTCTGTTTACATGTTTTTATGCACCAATATATTCCACAAAGCGACTTCGGTTGAATTTTAAGCTCATGATGTTGATGTACGGACATGAACATGGAGTAAATTTTCTTGAACATTATAGCATAACACTATTAAAAACTGAATAAATGCGCAACTTTTGTCATTTCACGAACATCCGTCGTGAGCTCTAATTCTAATAAAAATATACATTCGTATACGCCTTTATTTTACAAATCAACGTCACTGATGGCCTTAAACTGTAGGCCTATACTACATGTAACTATGATGTTTCACTTTAAATGACAACGAACTTAAAGGTTTTGCACTAGGAAAATAAACATAAACATTTAATTGCATGACAGTTCTGTTTACATTCGTACATTTTAAGTCCCAATTATTTGCTCAAATGTTTTGGACGTATTATTAATTTTCAATCCTTCTCGGATTATTTTTTTGACACGGGTGTGCCAAACATGGCCTCTCCCAGGTCCTCGCTTATCTCGGCCAGCATTTTGGGGTCTTTGTAATAGGTCACAGCTTTGGCCATGGCCCGGGCACGCTTGACTGGCTCCACACTTTTGAAAATCCCTGATCCCACGAAGACGCCGTCCACACCAAGTTGCATCAGTAGAGATACGTCGGCTGGAGTAGCTGTGTAAAATGAAATGAATATAAAATCATAACATAACTTGAAAGGAGGAGAAACAATGTCCTTTTTATTCTTCCGCCATTATAGTGTATTAATGCTATATACACTCTATACTTACAATTCTGAGGAACTGTCATTCTTTGGACTCGACCGAGTAATAAACAGCCCTATTTCTTTTCGTTTTAAAAAAAATTCAAGTACACTTCTCCATATCAGTGAATAAAATAACATAAAGCACTTATTATACTAAAAAAGTAAATCTAAAGAAAACAACAGTTTTTCTCACCGAGTCCTCCCGCTGCAAACTGGACTACTGGTAGACGACCGAGTTCTGCAGTTTGTTTCAGCAAGTCATAAGGAACACTCAACTCCTTGGCGTAACTGAACAGCTCTGGCGGGTCCAACGTCTGGACTTTACGGATCTGCTGCCGTATTATCCTTGCATGACGAACTGCTTGGCTAACATCACCTGAAACACAGACGTACCCATGCACTAATCAACTACAAAGTGATATCCGATTATTTGAACAGTCTCAGATGGGAATTTAGGGGCTAAAGACTTTCTCATGAACGGTTGTTTTAATGCCTAGAAAAATTAATTAAGATCGGACTTTTTCCTAGTTTAGTGTACCTGTTCCTGCTTCGCCTTTAGTTCGTATCATCGCAGCTCCCTCTGCTATGCGTCTCAGCGCCTCCCCGAGGTCCCGTGCACCGCATACGAAGGGCACAGTGAACTGGTGCTTGTCCACGTGATGGTCGTCGTCCGCATTGGTTAAGACTGCATCAAAAGATAAAGAATGAATTTTTTAAAAGAACCAGTACTAATATTTATTGTTGCAATTATTACTTGTAAGTAACTAAAACACATTATGACAAGGTAAATGGTAACTAAAGGGTATGCGTTAAACTGCACTTCAATAAATTCTTCTTTGGGACATAACGGCATATAAGTTATTATCATATTTTCCTTAAACTGATTTAACTTTAAAGACTACTACATGTATTGCAACAATAAAAGCACCAAGACACCCATTTGTTAAAACTACAAACATGGACGATATGCGCTGGCAGATCCAGTAAAATATCATTGGAGGGGAGGGGGGGGGGAGGCGGATTGTGGCAGTTTGCATTATCAAGTATTTTAAAGCACGCTTTATTAGCCAGTCTTCATGTTGTGACATTTTCGCCATCTGGGTGGTGCAGGGGGGGGGAGTGGGTCTGCCATTTTGATCTGTAAAAGGGGACAGTGGGTACGGGCTTCTTGTTTCCCCTGGATCTGCCTATTACATCATCAAGAGTGTAATACATTTTTGATATAATCTGTAGAGAATACCTACCCTCTGATTCATCAATCATATCCACTCCTAGAGCCTGGAGGATTTGAGCTTCAGCGAAATGTCCAATGCGACATTTGGCCATCACAGGTATCGTCACAGCGTCCAAGATCCCTTTTATCATCTAGAAAAGGTGAAATTTTACACAGATAAAAGGTATAAAGAGATTTTAAATTCGGTGTCCTTTGAACGTGCTGTCATCATAAAAGAAAGCATTAAGTCTTCTTACTTTAAAAACACCATACTTCAAATCTGCTCCACATTAACCGGTTAAAGTAATACCTCCATAAGTATACTTCTCTTTCTTGGTGATCAATCGATATGACACGCTCCGATTTATGTCCCTATTAAAATTAAGAATCAGACCATAAACAGAGCAGTTCTTCTGTCATACTTTACCTTGGGATCAGACATTCTAGCCACGCCCCCCTGACTGCGGATATCTGCCGGTACCCTCTCCAGTGCCATCACTGCGCATGCCTGAAACACATAACGGTAAATATTTTACTTCTCTTTGGGATTTCTTTGTCTCTGTTGCAAGCCCTAAAATAGCATTTTAATAGGGCACATAAGGTCAATTGTTTTAGCACGTAACCAAAAATATTTGCAGCCCAATTATTATTATTATTCAGCTATAGGTCAACAGAGAAAAAGCGCTATGTTAGTGTACATGTATCAAAACAAACACATATGTTTTAATATTGCGTCTTGGAAAGAAAGTGAGACTTAAAATCGTACCCCTGCTTCTTCTGCAACCCTGGCCTCCTCTGGTGTGGTGACGTCCATAATAATTCCTCCTTTAGCCATCTGTGCCAGGCCCGCTTTTACTTTGAATGTCCCTGTCTTAGGGACAGCCGGCCCCGTTAGGGACAGATTGCACACGCCTTCCGCAACGCCGTTCATTGTACCTAGAGAGAAAAGTTAAATCATGTGTGCTGATCTCTTCAATCCTTCAGTTTATACAGGTATAACGTGTTTTAATCACCATCATCATAAGTTACGACGGAGAGCAAATGAAACAAATTCGGTTGATCCTTTTTGTTCTCTTTTGCGACAACAAAACCCAAATATGAAGGTGCGCTGTATCAGACCTGAAATAACTGCGGCAAACTTCGCACAGATAACACAGAGGAATCACACATAAAAAAATCCATATTATACTGGTAGGATGGATAAAGGTATACTATACGAATTTGAAAACGTCCCAGATCTAGAGTCATACATGTATTTCAATCCAAAAAAGTTTTTTTCCCCCGAGTAGGATACACTCATAAATTTGAAATAATATTTTTTGCAGAGAATAAGTATAATACAAGCATGCACCTACATAACATGAATGCACAGTGCCTGGTATGTTTAATCCCCCTATAATAATGTAAGCGCCTTAATACCTTAAAGCGTTAGATATGCAAATGAACAAGATATTGCCGTGTTGGATAACCACCTTCCATGTTTTTTTATGACATATTCTCGACAGTCAGTAGCTGTGGGCCTGCTTCAACACGTGTTGATGCAGGTAGACAAAAGACATTTCCAACGGATGAGAGTTTAACAACATAGGCGTGTTATTCTTTCTGTGTTGAATGTATGTATGCAAGTTGTTGTTAACATGTATGCATGTTTTATAACGCTAGCAATCTGCCTGCTTATTCGTCTAAATGCCTTTGATAAATTGAAGCCATTTTCACGTATGTTGGGTTTTCACGTACTGCTGGCAATTACAAATCATGCATAATGATGACTCATATGTTTTTGTCGATTGCATAGTGTATACTAAGTGTGCACTACCCCAGTAATTTGTGTAAATGATATTTACGGTTTTTAAATGATAGGTAAGAATTTCCCATGACACTCGGGTTAAACGTTTGATCGTCACGCTCATCAAGCACATAAATGCGCAATATGTACAGGGTCTTTATAGGTATGCAATGAAAGACTTTACAGACTGCACGTGCCATTATTTGATCTCTTGACTATCACCGCATACGTCTACATGATCAGATGCAGCAGACAGGTGAAGGAAAACACTTACCATTCATGCTCATTGTGTCGGGAATGGAGCGTCTGTTCGCTGATGTAAGCGCCGTTCTTGAAAATATCGCAGTGCCTTCTTTGCGGAGACTTTCTTCTTTCTTAGATGTGTACTAAATGGCCACCGACGTAAGAAGTTATGAAACCACAAAACAAACAGCGTGAAATTAAAAGCTGGGTCGACGGTGCAATTTAGTGCTGTTATTTCGTAAGCCTGTCTGTGAGGATGTTATTAATGCAGAGTTGGTATTCAATTTAGAATTACTCAAGTAGAAAGGCCTTAAATTTCGACAGACTTCATAACATTGTAATCGACGCAAATTTTCTGTACACAAGAGAAAGGTAGGTGAAAGTGGATAAAAATTATCACATAAAGAGCTGTTTAATTGAGCGGGTACAAAGGCATAACCTTAGGACGACAACAATGAACCCCTGTGTGTGGTAAGCCATTTGTAAGCCCCAACTTCCCCCATTACCCTACATTTATGATGAAATACACGTGTTTACTTTGGGAAACCAATCACATTTTGGCCATATAGCTCTGTGTACTAATTATGAACTGCATAGCTATTACGATGAAATGAAATACGCTCACAATCAGTGTCACAAAACAATCAACAGCAAAGAGGGGCTCTCTGAATTAAGTTGTGGTTACATCCGCATTTAAGAGTAAGGAGTGAATTCCCTGCTAAGGTAGGCCAAGGTTACTTTTATCTTCTAAACCACGGGACTCTAGATTTATCCTCTAAAGTTTGTTTATTAATATACGTTATGCAATGATGGAATGGAACTTTGGGGTTTATCAACATGTATCGGTGATGTATGCTGTCTCGTATAACAATCACATACATACACTACTACAAGTGTATTGATGGTTGGCAATTTCGCCTATCCGTCGGAAGCGTGGTATGGACATGTAGGCCTAACATGCCACAAATGTGACCGGTTGAAGTGTCCGAACTGTCACGTACCTGTTGACCTAAAAGGCTTAAAATTAGAGACGCAAGACTTTTCCAACAGACCTATTGTATTTCAGCAGAAAAACCTTATGGGTCCTTCAAATAAAGATGTACTGGTAAATATATTTGTATGTATTATAAGCACTATTAGTACCGTAGTACTATTCTAATTGTTATTTTCTTTTATCATGACAGGAACCTTACTGGCAGCTATGTCAAATTCAGGGAAACTAAGGATCGGTATCTTAGGAATTCAAGGCGCTTTTCAAGAACACAAAGTCGCTCTCCTGAAAGCCCATGAAGCCGCCAAGTGCGACGACCTCTCAAACTGGACACTGGACATCGTGGACGTACGATCACGGGGAGATGTCACTGACGATTTAGATGGACTAATACTGCCAGGAGGTGAAAGCACCACCATGAGTCTATTCCTGAAGAGAGAAGGCTTAGATACTGTTCTCCGAGAATGGATGGCGAAAAGGAGGCGAGTGACGTGGGGCACGTGCGCAGGGATGATTCTACTGGCGGAGAACATTGAGCATCAGAAAGAAGGAGGGCAATCTCAGGTATGGGAATTGTGTTAGGTTGGAAAACAAAACCATGTACCCTCTTGAAATACGTTTATGCTACTTAATTTATCTAACGGGTATTGACTCTGGCAAGTTGTTTATTCACTTTGGGTAGCGCCCAGCAGTCATTATAAAGTTAGGTTGGTCGGAGTAACATATTTTTGAACTTAATAAATATTTAAATACTTAAAACATTATTCTAGCTTCTCCAAGATTGCAAGTTAAGGACCTAAGCAGGTATTGTACTGCTTGGACATAATAATGATGTATGAGCGTTGTTCTTCTGAAATAAATTCTTTTATTTGACTTATAATGATCTTCATTTGGCAGATATGTCACAATTATTTTGGTAGATCTTTATATTGAAAAGAATTTGTTAGTTTAGCCAAACATTTATTTTTAAACTGATGTGATTTTTTCCAGCTGGGAGGCCTACACGTGACAGTTTCACGGAACTATTTCGGTCGCCAGGTGGACAGTTTCGAGGCTGACGTCACTGTTTCGTCAAACACTTTAACCGGTTCTTGTGAAGACGACGAAACATGCAGGGGTGTCTTCATCCGGGCACCTGCCGTTATATCAGTGGATGACCCAAGGGTCAAGGTTATCGGTAGTTTGACCTTCACCGACAGACAGCAGTCTGTCAGGTCTGTGATTGTCGCTGTGCAAGAGGAGAATATCCTTGCCACAGCATTTCACCCAGAACTTACAGACGATACCAGATGGCATAGACATTTCTTAGAAATGGTCAAACAAAATAAAACTTCCATTTAAAGCAATGTAGTTTAAACGGTTTTTTTTTTTTTTTTGAAAAATTAGACAAGTATATTGGAAGTTCTAATCCAAGGAATCAGCAGATGAAATGTAATTTAGCTGAGCTATAGATAAAAAGCGTTTGTTTTGGCTCCATCGTTACAACAATAGTCGTGTGTTTAATTATGACTTAAAGGTTAATAAACAAGAATGGCATTTGACATGGTGTAAATCTCAATGGTTATGTTATGATTGAACAAGAGCAGTATACTTAAGGCCATTTCAACAGCAGGTGTGTTTTTTCATGTTATTAAATCTTACATTTCGATGATATGTCCATACCGTATCCCAGTCGAATCCACTTGAGCCAAATTAAATGTAAAAACAAGTATTTACGTGTGTGTCATTTGTTTGTTTAACTATCAAAATGTTCTTAGCTATCAACCCTCGATAAGTTTTTTAATTCTCGGTATACTTGATTAAGACTCTATCGATTTTTTAAACATTAAACATTCCCATGGAAAAAGATACAGAACTCACAAAAAAACATGAAAAAAAAAACGCTTGATTTAGACTCTATCGATTTTTTAAACATTAAACATTCCCATGGAAAAAGATACAGAACTCACAATAAAAACATGAAAAAAAACGCTTTTGTTTGAAGTTACCGGGGCCGTAGATTGCAGGAAGGGCATCCCCTCCCACTAAAAAAAGAATTAAAAAAGAGACATCTTAATAAAATGTTAGCCATTGCCCTTCTCCCAACCAATCCCAAGCTTCTTACTTTTCCTACGGTCAGCGTTGAGAAGACTAGCACAGACGGTGCAAATAGCCTGTTACCTATATATATATATATGCATTGTAGGCTGTCAACAGTTACCATCTACCAACGTTTTTTTTAAGCCTAAACCTGTGCCCCAGTTTGGGTCTATTCAGCACCGTAAAATAGGGCCTGTAGGGTATTGTTATAATGGCAATATACTCATTTTTTTTTGGCACTACACGTGGATTTAAACATTATGATTGCAATAACATTTGTGGCAAACTTGTCTTGTCTATTGTGAAACAAGCTGGTGATTTAGTCATTTAAAGCCCCCCCCCCCAAAAAAAAAAAAAAAAAAAAAAGATATTGTCACTGATGTGGGTAATACATGTACTTAACCCTTTACCAAGGGTACAGATATAATTTTTTATCTAGATATTCACGCATGTTTCTGTGGCTATTCACTAGCTGTCCACATTTCTTATCAGTTCGGACGGGTGAGAGTTGTTGCACAACGACTGCGTCATTTCTCAGTCGGTCTCTGGTAGATAGAGCAGGTACATGAAATACATGTGCATGAAAACAAACATGTCGATTAAAGGATGAAAATGTATCATTTAATTCAAAACCAGAGTTATAAGAATCTGCTTTAGGGAAAAACAAAATCAAAAACATTGAATCTACACTGTACTTGATTACACATCATACAAAAATACCTGTACTGCGTTTTGATAAGAAATTGGTGTTACTAATCATTTACTGTTTTGAAAGTTACGAACTTGCGTATATAAATATATACAGGGGAATAAACCAACAAATCATAACTCGCGTAATGTTTCTACCGCAAAGGGCAACGTTAGGCCTGTTTTACAACGGCTAAGCGAGATAACAGCTCTAATTAATATACATGTAAATACATGGCTATGTAAATCAACAAATTAAATTAAGTGAATTGGCAAATTAGAAGTCCGGATTTATTATCAATCTTTTCGGTTTGCTTGTCAAAGTTACAGACCAGTTTCTTTCCTCTCGTCCGTTTCTTCCTTATCGTCATTCGTTATTTGTTCTTGTTCCGGTGTTTGGTCACTCGTTGCGTTTGGTTGAACGCTGCGGCGCCGTTTTCGTAGGTACAGGTAGGCTACTAGGCCACTTAGGCCAGCGAGAAACACCAGGGAGGAAGCGCCGACACTTGTTCCGATTATAATGCCTTTGTCTGAAGGTGATAACTTGAGGATGTTGCCTCGGCTGACGTCCGTCTCATTGGTTTCTCCGTTGGCCTTCTCTGTTGTAGGACCTGGTGTTATTGGTGCATTTTTGGATGAAATTGCGACAGTATGACTTGTTGTGGCCTCAGATTCAAGCGAAACTGCGGGTCCTGGAGATATCCCTATCTTTGTAGTCGTTGGATCTGGACAAGCGGTTTTGTAGTTCATGTACCAAGCAGATGATGGGTTTATTTGATGGGCAAATGGACGTGAACCTTAGATATAATTTACAGAAAATTTCAATCGTTATTGGATATTTAGATATAATGTATCGAATAAAAGATTTGTTTGATTTTATTCATAATACATTAAAAACAAATGAAATCGAGGGAGTCTTGCTCAGAAATACTGAAGACGCCTTAAGACTTTTTCTTTTCGTTGGAAAAGATTTTGTAACAAAAATAAATATACTGACATCAACGTTTTTACTTTGACGTGGCAATGGAAAAAGTTAATCATGTTACGTTTACTAGAGATGCGGGGTTGTGAAAGGAATCCTGCTTACCTGCGCAAAGGGCCTCAGACAAGTTCCCCGTCAAGTGGTACAAACCAGAAAAGTCGTCAACAATGAAAGCGTGGTTGGACACAGGTTCGCTGACTATTGCTTGTAGCTCAATGAGCCGTGTCTTGTTGCCAATCCCTATGGCGTACACTTCGATGCCTTCTTGTTGTGCAGAGATTGCTCTCGTCACAGTTGTGCAAAGTCTGTCACCTTGACCAATGTCCGTAGATATGACAACAGCTATTTTCGTGGTATTATGACGACCGCCTTTGGGATGCGTAGCGTTAAGAAACGTTTTTCTTGCCTGAGAAAGAGCTCGATATGTTTTACTGCCAAAAAATGACATTTCATGAACTTGTATAGTCTTTATCCTGTTCCATATGTTTGGATAAGATTGTGGTAAATCGAGTGTTATGATTCCATTTACTGACTGCTGAAAAGAAATGATTGCAACACTAACGTTGTCCGGACCTATCTTGAAGGTATCATTGACCAAGCTGCCTAAGAGATACCGAATCTTTGGGGCGTCGTCTGTTTTTCCGGTAACGTCCAGCAGGAAGGCTATATCAGCAACATCGAGCTCTGAAATCAATTAAAAGTCTTAAAGTGAGCGGTGTCATTTTAGAAAAAAAAATAATAATAAGTTTATACCCACCCATTACAGTATACCTATGTTCCAATAAACTATGCATGCAAGTTTCGTTTTTAATATAGCATTTTATACGCTATACATTTTATACGCTATACATGCTGCAATATTAATTAATTTTCCTCTTTTGCCACAATGTGTTTGAGTAATGTCTATTCTCTAACTCAAGTAGGCCTACTTACTGCATCCGATAGCCGTTCGGAGTAAAACGGGGAAAACTGCCACACCAATAATCAAATAAATCGCTCTAAGTTTCGTTCCTTCCATGTTCGTGCGATCGGACGCAGAAACGCAAGGCACAGTGTAGTGACCAACTGATAACCAGTAGTACTTTTTTACTCAACATGTGCCTTGAAAACGAGTGTCAATAAAATGTTATCTAATCTCACTAGATTCAGGATGGTGAATTGATTGCCTCATTTCGATAAAAAAAGTTTTGATATTACTTACTGGCACACGGTTGATATTAAAATTTTCGAAGTATTAAAGTAAATGATTTAAGTATTGATTGAAGCGAAGCAGCCATAATCAAATGGCACACGCTTGGACCATTAAGTTGGCCCTTCACTTTGTTATTACAGGTGGATTATCTGCGTGTCGATAACGCCTCACTGGCAGAAAATAGTCGCATAGGACACTGACTGCCCCGTAGATGAATTTATAATTCCACTCAGTTGAACATTTTCATTACTGACACCGTTTCTAATCTAGAAAATAACTAAGATTAAGATATGTCACTATGGTAGAAAAATCCTTCTTCAACGAAAAGTTAATGAAAATGATAAAAGAAGATCATAATTAAAGTTATCTCCATAATCCAAGAACATCAGCAAATTGAAAAAATAAAACTATTCTCATGATAAATTGGTTTATCTATTTCGATTTGTAACAATGGGTTCGAGCGTCCTTAGCAGATAACAATAATCCTAGTTAATACTCTGTTTATTATTTTGTTCAATACGTGAAGTTTAATTATTGTGTCACATACCAGTTTTAAGTCCAAAGTGTATTTATTCAACATGTTGCTGTTGTCAGGAAGCATTATCAAAACATGTTTATTTGAAATGAGTTTCTGTATAGCAACGCATCAATGGATTAATTTCGCTAACAATAATTATGAATTAAGACAAATAAAATTAACTTCAGCCACCGAAGGCTATAGAAACATGCAATTAGGACCACAGGTGTGTGAAACAATGGGCGCTACTTTGTTGCCATTTCCACAACATGAAAACAAGATCGGTTGTTTGTAGACATTGTGAAGAAAAAGATCTAAGATGTCAGTGTTCTCGGTACTGCTGAAGTACATTAATAGTGAGGCATGACATAGATGCGTAGATGCATGTATACCAGTGTCTTAGCCCACAAGACACGAGCATTCCAGGTTTTTCTACATACACGTTTTGTGTTGCCAAACGTTTGAGATATGCGCCCCCATTTTATCTCATTATGTTTGTCATTACGGTGGCTTTGCATCCTTGAACAAACGTAACTCGTAGTAGAAGCGGAACTTCATAGACTGGGATTTATGTATAATCCCCCCCCCCCCCAAAAAAAAAAAATAAATAATAATAATAATAAAATAACGAACAGATAATTCGATAATTGAGGAGACGTTCAATTGAGTAGGTGAACACAAGCGTGCATTGATAAAAAACGCCCGTTCTATCACGTGATCTTTTTGCGAACATTCAACAAATTAAATTATAAGTGGATGGAAAAAAACTATGCATATAACTACCAAAATTAAATTATTAGAATGTATCGAATATTATCGATTAAACCTTTTTTTAATTTACATGTTATTGACCCCTGGCAATTATAAGTCATTATAAGTCAATTATAAGTTCCATAGCTCCCCAAACATCAAAGTTGACTTAATTACAAATCTGATAGCCCCAAAACACAAGCTCATGCACCTCAAGGACGCCCTTCGACCCAACTACATGTACCACAGCCTCCACCAAAAAGATAAATACACTTTTAATCAGCGCTGGGCTACACTTCAACTTCAGAGGTCATACAAGGACATTTTGAACATGCTCAATGTGCACGTGATTCAAGAAAGATGAAAGACCGAATTAAGTCATTGACACGTAATAGTTACTGTAACAGAAAACCTTAGGCACCTATGGCCTGCCCAGTCGAGAAAATGTGCTATTTCACTGGGCGCTAATAAAAAAGTCATATTTTTGGGGGTTTGGGAGACATGTTATTGACGGGGGTCAGAACAATCTCTACAACAAAAGAGAGTCAAATCTTCAAAGATGTTGCAGGTAAAACAAGGAAAAGGCTTAATCAGACCACTTTATATGCTACTATTTTTATAAAGAACGCTCCAAAGATGCTAAGAACTCTTTGTGTTCAAAACTTCTATTTTAAAGCTAGAGTCAAGACCATGCAGTTCTTGCGCACCCCCGAACCCACCTGGCTACGGGCCTGCGTGAGAGTGATATTAAAATGGACAATTTTTATCCACGACCTACGTAGGTCAGTTTAAAAAAACTCAGTTAAATTTTATTTCACTTTTAATATCTAAAAAGGAGCAAATTAAACAAAGGCTTGTTATATCATGCAGAGTTTTTAAATTCTTTAAATCATGGCGCATTTGCTCAATCAGTACATATGACGAGCTTCTGTCTTAAACAGCTACAGACGTACACATGCACAATCAAATACACAAGGCATCTTTTCTTTATGGATTTGTGTGCAGATGACTTTTAAATCTTAAACTCTTCGTTGCTTGTGAGCTAATGGCATGACAGAAGTTTTTTCTTGGTCTTGTCTCCTTGCCAAAAGGGATACATTTTTTTTATTTTATTTATTGTTACTTAGTCAAGCCTCGATTCTAAGTACAGTACTCTGTAGTGTTTGCTTCTTTTTTTGTTTGTTTTGCTGTTTTTTCTTTCGTTTGTTTATTTCTTTTGCTTTTGTTTATCCGATTTATTACAGGCTGCAGTATTTGGTCTATCTCTTTGAAATTTAACAGAGAAGTTAAATAATTAAAGTATTATCTTGGCACCAGAGTCTTTTGACATATATTGCTTTTTTTTTTCAATAACGACTGGAAAATGAAAATATCTAAATAATCTCTATTTCTCATTATTGGCCAATATGGCAGACTCTCTATACTCTCTGTCCATTTTTTTTTCTCACAATCTCTGGAACAATTACAGCAATATGGCGTTTATTCCCATGCACAGTTTTCGAGACAAAGAAGTGATCTTTTGCAGATTTATTAAGGTAAGTACGGTATATATAAAGATAAGTCATACACACCATTCACTTAGCAAGGGGCAAAACTTCAGGGTGTTTTTTTTTTACTACAGAAACCACAGCTCCGAGAGTACCTGTTGAACACAAAACAAACGGGGACATTTTGAAACCCCGTTCGAAAATCGTATCAGAGAGGTTGACGAGTGACTCACATATTTCAAGTCCCCGATGACGTCCGCTTTGCGTAAATAGGATGTACCAGTAGGTTGATTTAGATTTTGTCAAGTCCGCTCTCAGTCTCTCAGCGAGAACTCTTATTTATTTATTTATTTATTTATTTATTTATTTATTTATTTTGTGAAACCGGAGCAACTGCTATTTAGAATAATGTGTGACCACCAAAATTTGGAACAACTTTTTATATTCTATATAGAAAAATACACATGTAACTGTGAGTTCTTTGAAAGATGGTTATCACGAAAATCAAAACAGACGCGTATATGCAGTGCTAGCCTATAGTGTATTTCAAGAGGAAATTTCCAGATCAAAAGTAATGACACAATGTCAATTTCAAATCAAAGAAGAATCAATTTGAAGAAATAGATGTATAGTCAAAGAGGCACTGAAATATCGAAATCAGTGCTCAGATTGCATTATTGTAACTAGGATTTTGTTTCTTAGACTACATTAAGGCTGCCAACTGGGCAACCATCCATCAAAGTTGGAAAAGTGTCCATCTATTGACCACCCCTTGGTCTGCCAGTTGGCCTTGGTCCTCTTCCCCCTTTACGCTTGCGGGTCCTGGGCCTCGTCATCCCCCTTCAAGCATTTCAGCGCCAGCATTTTCAATTTTTTTACCTTTCCCATGATACTGCGCCCGTCTATGCCGTCCTCTGGCACACCAGTAGGCTTTGGTAGGTTTTCCAAACATCCCCTTACTCTTTCTTTGAGCTCATCTGGAATTTTGGCAACCAAGCATCGGAGCAGCCTCGCTTTTCCGTCATTGTTTGCTGGCTCACCGGTGGGCTCTGGTCCGTCAAAACATTCGCGAACTTTTGCCACAAGCTTTTTCAGCTTCATGAGCCTAATAAATAAAAATAAAAAAATAATATTAATAATAGAATAATAGCATGTCTATGATATTGTACAACCCATTGTACAAAATAAAAATGTATGACATGTAGTAATTATATTAGAGAAAATTCAGATGTTTGACATTACCATAATTAATTTACTTCACAGTATATATACAAAACGCAATATTTCATTCAAATGACATATTTTTTAATTACAAGTTCAATATAATACTCTACCTGTAGCTTCACGTTTACAGGGTATGCAGAAATTGTAGGTCCTGAATTTTGCAGCAACAACAAAAAATCGTACAACGGTTATATATTACCTAGCCAATGGCCCTGGTCCTTCTCCCTCTCCACGCTTCGCTGGTGTATCCATTGCTTCTGGTTCTTGCGGTTCCTGTGCATCGTCATCTCCCTTCAAGCACTTCAAAACCATCATCTTGATTTTTCTGCCCTTTTCCCTGATACCGCGCTTGTCTGTGCCGTCCTCTGGCTCACCGGTAGGCCTTGGTAGGTTTTCCAAACATCCCCTCACTCTCTCTTTGAGCTCGTCTGGAATACTGCCAGCCAAGCATCGGAGCAGCCTCGCTTTTCCGTCATTGTTTGCTGGCTCACCGGTGGGCTCTGGTCGGTCCAAACAATCGCGAACTTTTGCCACAAGCTTTTTCAGCTTCATGAGCCTAATAAATAATAATAATAAAATAATATTAATAATAGAATAATAGCATGTCTATAATATTGTACAACCCATTGTACAAAATAAAAATGTATGACATGTAGTAATTATATTAGAGAAAATTCAGATGTTTGATATTACCATAATTAATTTACTTCACAGTATATATACAAAACGCACTATTTCATTCAAATGACATTTTTTTAATTACAAGTTCAATATAATACTCTACCTGTAGCTTCACGTTTACAGGGTATGCAGAAATTGTAGGTCCTGAATTTTGCAGCAACAACAAAAACTCGTACAACGGTTATATATTACCTGGCCAATGGCCCTGGTCCTTCTCCCCCTCCACGCTTCGCTGGTGTATCCATCGCTTCTGGTTCTTGCGGGTCCTGTGCATCGTCATCTCCCTTCAAGCACTTCAAAACCATCATCTTGATTTTTCTGCCCTTTTCCATGATACCGCGCTCGTCTGTGCTGTCCTCTGGCTCACCGGTAGGCTTTGGTAGGTTTTCCAAACATCCCCTTACTCTCTCTTTGAGCTCATCTGGAATACTGCCAGCCAAGCATCGGAGCAGTCTCGCTTTTCCGTCATTGTTTGCTGGCTCACCGGTGGGCTCTGGTCGGTCCAAACAATCGCGAACTCTTGCCACAAGCTTTTTCAGCTTCATGAGCCTAAAAAAAAAAATTATTAAAATATTAATAGAACAATAGTATACCTATTATAATGTACATCCCATAGTACAAAATAAAAATGTATGACATGTAGTAATTATATTAGAGAAAATTCAGATGTTTGACATTACCATAATTAATTTACTTCACAGAATAAAAAAACGCACTATTTCATTCAAATGGCATTTTTTTTAAATTTACAAGTTCAATATAATACTCTACATGTAGCTTCACAAGTACAGGGTATACAGAAATTGTAGGTCCTGAATTTTGCAACAACTACAATAATCATACAACAGTTATATATTACCTGGCTAATGGCCCTGGTCCTTCTCCCTCTCCACGCTTCGCTGGTGTATCCATTGCTTCTGGTTCTTGCGGTTCCTGTGCACCGTCACCTCCCTTCAAGCACTTAATAAGCATTATCTTGATTATTCTGCCCTTTTCCCTGATGCCGCGCTCTTCTGGCAGACCGGTAGGCTTTGGTAGGTTTTCCAAACATTCTCCCACTTTCGCTTTGAGCTCGTCTGGAATTTTGCCAGCCAAGCATCCGAGCAGCCTCGCTTTTCCGTCAATGTTTGCTGGCTCACCGGTAGGCTCTGGTCGGTCCAAACATTCGTCAACTTTTTCAAGCACTTTCAGCTTCAAGAGCCTAAAAAATGAAATGAAATAAAAATAATAAAAACAACAATAATAATAATAGAACGACAGTCTGTCTGTACGCGGCAAATATAGAACCTGGACTTCGAATTAAAACTACAGTAGACAACGGTTACTACAAATTTTTATGACCACAGTGTTGTCGCCATCGTTTAAAAACGGGGAAGGACATTTTGGAATATGAAAAACACCGTATAATACGTATAAATGGCATTCATTGAATAATGTGAATGAAACAGACTAATATTGTGACTCGTGACAGAAATTCAAAGAATTTTTTTAACTTGTAAACTGAAAAAATGATCGATTTCCGAGGAATCTCTGTAACTAATGTAGTAAGATTTTATCAAGAAAATTGGCATTATTCACGACGAGAGCGAGAACCACAATTCGGTGCCAGCGTCTTGTGTAGGAGATACGAGACCCTCATTACGATGTTTCATTAAAAATGCATTTTTTTTGCCTCTTTTCTGATAACTCTTCTGTGAACTCTTCAAACAATGCCCGGTCACCAGATAGTGGTGCTTATTTTTGTGATTGAATATACATTAAATGGGGCTGAAAAGTGTTCAGGTGAGGGAGATCTGTTTAAAAGCGATATTAGAGGACCATTCCCACAGATATTTGGATCGATCTAACTCCCTGGGGAGGCTCACTAAATTGCTATCAACTTAACCGGCTTAAATGTCTGTCACGCCTAGTAAAGCTGTTAGGAGGTAAGTATCTTTACCCCTAGCTGATTCGGATAGCAATTTAGTGAGACACCCCAGGAAGTTAGACCGATCGATCTAGGCATGGGAATCTAGTTTCCACCCTAAAAACGCTGCTGCTTCGTCAAAACGTTGAGTATGCAAATGTATCTTTGATGCGCCATCACTATTTCATAACATGACTTTTATTTGGCATTATTTTAGCAGATGAAGAAACAATTCTAACGTATCGATCTTCCTCAAGACATGCTTAATATAGATCTAAACCCATTACTCGCGAATCAGTGCTGTATGGTTTTTTTACAGATCAGTAGTGTGATTATACCTGTCTTAGAATTTTAAAAATTCAATATATTCCTTATCATTTTAAGTATAAGTCATCAAAATTGCATTTATGCCATTACTTGTCCGTCATGCATCAATGATACATCATTATACTGAAGCGTGAAAGATATGTACGTACATGTAAGCAAAGATAAATATTGAGAAAAAAAGCACTTACATGGGCCTGCGGGCTGAGGCCAAACAGACGACAGCGGCCAAAACAACGAGTGTTGCGAACTTCATCCTTGGTCAGTTGAACTGTGTCTCTTCCCAGAGGAGTGATTTTATCAGATTTTTCTGGATCTTTTATAGGATATTATTGATTGTTCACCTGTTATGTTTGGGGAGAAGGGTGTTCCTTTCCGTCAAATCACTACATTGGATTAATAAAATAAAAAAGGCCTGATCCAACATACATATAATTGTGACTCACCGTGATGTATTTATTCATATGGTTTAATTTGATATACAGTACTATGAGTACACAATCCATCAAATTATGGTCGTTCTAATGGTACAATGGTCTTGATTTATAAAGTATTTTTTAAAACCACTTATAATATTTGAAAAGCTGTGATTACTTCCTTTTTATCCTGTTTGTTGAAAGAAAATACACAAGGACAAGTGTGCTAATGACGCATATCAATTTCAACTGATCAAACGAAGTTATTTGTTCAGGTAGTAGCCTTTTAAAGATATACCGAACCCTGTCGGTCGGGTAATTACGTCGGAAATTACCAGTTGAAGTAATAAATAAGTATTTGCGGTAGTCAACCAGCTCATTTAAGTCAGGATCAGTTCTTAGTTAATGCTTATTTGTGACTTCTATAAAGATCCACGCTAGTTTACTTGTTTCTGCATTTTTCAATTTAGATAGGGAATTTATCAACAAAATTAGAACACTAGTAAAAAGCTCGCCGCTTTCTTTTGACGATGGCACTAGTGTTAACTTATGATTCGTTGTACATTTCTGTGTCAGTAAGATCTATCTCGTTGGTGTAGGAATTTTTTAAAGCTTTCATTATTCAAAACTGCTTTTTTTTTTTAAACGGTAGCCACTAACGTGTGAAACAATGGACGGGGGCGGGTATCGCTCCTCTTACTAACTAATACCCCCTTAATTTACACTGGACGGCGTCCTTTCTGCGTCCTTTCTGCGACCATGACATTTGGCATCGCTGTGGTCTTAATAAGGAGGCACGAGCATTGATTTTGTATCAGAATAAATGCTCAATGATCTGCCAGTTGTCGGCACGTAAAGTATTATCATTTTTTTAACTCTCAAATGGGGCCGTACTGCTGGACGCAGAAAGGACGCCGTCCAGTGTAAAGGGGGCTTAACCAACGAAGTAACAAACGAACTGAATGTGGACAGACAGGCATCTATAACGACTTAGGTTTATGCAGTAAATTAAGGTTGTCATTTATCATGGGTTGCACAAATGAGGAAAACGTTTAAAGTCATACAATGAGTGTTAGTCTTTCATCTTTCATATGCCAAAAAAAGTTTTTCCTGAAATTTTCAGAATTTTTCTCCATAATCGCCAAGGTTAATCATATCCAAAACTATTGACAAAATTATCTAAATACTAAATTGATTAACTAAAATTAAATTAAATTAAATTAAATTAAATTAAATTAAATTAAATTAAATTAAATTAAATTAAATTAAATTAAATTAAATTAAATTAAATTTAATTTAAAAAGAAAATTCTAGGAGGGGACCCTGCAACTATAGACCCAAGACTCTAGACCTGCTGACACTCTATGAACGGATTTTACACCTTCACTATTTTATCATTGCACTTATAACGATCAAATTGGTACATCGCAGAAGCTAAACCTACAATGTAGCCCAGTTCAAAAAGAGGGATGCCTTGACACGTATTTATGTCTAAAACCTCATGATAACGCATACATAATACTTTTTAGTAAAAGTCCGAGAGTTTCTTTTATGGGGTTTTCTTTTCCTTCGTCCTGTTTTCTTCTTTTCTTTTCTTTTCACTTCTTTTCTTTTCTTTTTTTTCACCTTTTTTCCTTTTTTTAATTATTTTGTGTGTGTGTGTGGGGGGGGGGGAGAGAGAGAGGGGGGGGGGGGGGGGGAACTGCCAGTTTCGGTTTCAGGTATTTTTTTTCGTTTCCATTTTGGATCTTTACAATTATGTTGGCATTGTGTTGCTTGTAAATGTATAATTCGACAAAGGGTCTACACGGTAAATACCAGCACAAGTACAAAGGCCTACCGGTAATTTACCGTCACCGTAGGACTAATCTATAATTGCAACAACTTTTATTCTCTTTTGGGAATAAAACATTGAATTGTTGATTTGGTTAAAGTACTTTTTATGAAACAAATTGGGTGATTTCTCCATTTCAGATTAAGATAAACATGTGAACTTAAAGTAAAAAAAACTTTTTTTACAACTATTGGGAAGAGCACGGTCGCAGAAGTAGCCCCATGAAAACGAGGCCACTGTGCGGAAGAGAACTGAAACCGAGGCTGCAGTTTAAACGGGATGGATGCAGACTTCACCCAGCTCCGAAGTACGCCCAGTAAAATTAAGACCGAAAAGGAGCATATTGAAAATGGCCAGAGCGTCAAGACTGGTTGCAACATAATTAACATTAGATCAGTAATTAGAGAGTCAGTATTAGGTTGGTATATACGCGCACAGCGCTCTTAATTCCCACTGGTTTCTTTCGCCGGCCAAAAATGGGGGCCCTTTCAAGTTCCAAAAGAAGTTCTTATTAGAAACACACAAGTGCCCACACTACTTGTTATGAGTATGAGCTGCTCTAAATTACACTTATAAAAAGCAGATACCTTTGTAGAATGAAGCAAGCCCATTTATGCAGTTAATAACAAGTCCTACAAGTTACTAAAAGTATCTTATGCATATATATTTGTTACATGCAAAGAGTAAAGATCAAAATTTTCTTTTCCATGTTGTTTTTAATTTGTTCCCCCTCCAAAACTGAAAACATGACTAAACCACAGGTTAGATTGCACTTCTTTTTCCATAGTACAAACATTCATTAGTTAACCAAGTGTTCTTGTAATATATGGTCCCTGGCATGTGCTAGCCCTTATGAAAAAGTCCTACAGGAACCTATGGGACTTTTTCGTTAGGGCTGTTGTGCTATAACATCAAAATAGTGTAAGCACATCATATCAAAGACTTTATACAGGAGTGCAACAAATAAATTTTAATGTTATCTAGTCTAATGACTTAATGGTTTGGTAAACTAAGAATTATTCACAGGTCAGAGACTGTTTGTTCTGATATATTTTGTTTCATGGGTAAGTATCAAGATCTGTCAGAGCAGGGAAAATGGTCTCTACCAGTTACCAGTATGTTGTTTAAATAGAATTTATCGTGAAATATTGATCTTCAAATGTTGAATTGTTGAACCTTCAGTTGGAACAGTGGTCTTGCTTACATACTTTTAAAAAATTTCTTTTTTGCCAGTTTTGATTTAGATATTGGAACTTAAGTACCTTTGGACTGCCCAAATAATTATATCAATCCTGCTTTATTACAGAGAGTCCTTTGATCTAAAATTATGCCTAATAGTAATCCAAGTTGCATATGAAGGACTCCTGAATCATCCTAGCTCGTCTCTTGATTATTCTTATAAATGCAGTGTCTTTATTCATTTTAGGATATGTGTTCTGGAGCCTGTTCCAAGGATTGGGACCTATGATATGGTTTTATCCCCTGAATGAACTAGAAATCTCAGGATATGAAGTATTCTGCCTGTTGTGGCTAAGTCCAATTGTAACCTGTATTTCTCCAATATTTCATCTCATTCAACACCCATGGGTGCTGGGCGGCCTACGTTTATTTATGGTCGGTTGCATTGCATCTTTCCAAGCACCAACAACATTACAGCGCCTGATACTTCTGGCCTTGGGAAATGGGGCAGCCATGTTGGTTTTGGTGGCCACGCTGTGGAAAGATTCTACATATCAGAGGTATCATTTTGGTGTTATTTCAGTTAATTCTTCTCGCTTATGTTTGTAAAATCCAAACACTCTCATTCAGTTTTTTTTCTTTTGAAAAGTGAGGATTATATTTTGTATGTGTTTGTGAAATGTAAGCCTTTTTTAGTAGGAAATTTGATTAGCTGTGTATGTAGAAAGTTAATTTTTGGAAATGCAACTTTAAGCGTTATGAATTGGTGATTTGATTTCTGGGTTGACTTTATAAGACCATCAGTGTATACCCCAGGTGACTGTTTCTGCTGGTGAGATAACTAAATTTTAATATTATTATTATTATAATATTCCAAGCCTGGATATTACATTTCAGATACCTGACATTTTGGGGTCTTATGGTGGGCTTCTTTGCAGTTTTGGCAGGGAGGATATGGTTCACCTCTTTTATCCCAACATGGTGGGACAATCCAACCAATTCAGCAGTCCTTGCAGTAGGACTCATAGCTACAGTAGACAAAATAATGTCTGGTATGTGAAGAAAAGGGAGATATTGCAGGGTGTTTGTGTAGAATCATCATGATACCAAAGTTATGAAATTGTAACTTCCAAAAATAAATTGATTGACAAGTACTGTTTTTAGTTCAGTCCTTCACAATCAGTTTCCATGTATTTATATGGTGCTTAAAAGAAGAACAGTTGGAATCAAAAACTACTTGTCGATGAGATTGTAAATAGAAGTTTATATAAAATAATTATAAAACACAAGCTGAAATGTTTTCATACTGTTAGTTATGGCCAAATTAGATGCATATACCATCTACTGGTCATGTTGTAACAACATCTCTTGACTCACATTAGTCTGATGAAGACCTACGTCCAGGTTTGCTGTATGGTAATTGTATGAAAACATTTCAGCTTGTGATTTATCTTAATTATATATAATACTATATCCAACCACCAAGCTCTAATGGATATCTTTTGTTAAATAAAACTTATTTATAAAAATCCGGCACAGGCATAATTTATCCTGATATGCCAGTGATAATATTATTTGAGTCCTCTCAATAGTTATAATCAACAGTTTTTCCTCTGGTTTTCTATTTTCTTTAATTTCTTTTTACAACCAAGGTGGTGATAGTCTGCCAGTCCAGAAAATCTCTTCCCCAAGGCCTTATTGGCTGTCCACTGGCGTAGGCTTTGGTAGCCTTCTCTATCTTACTCACTGGATATTTGGAGAAGTTTCCATAGCAACAAGATGGGTGGTGACTGGATACCCTGACCATGGCCCTCAGCCTAACCCCTGGGGGTAAGAGAGAGATGAGAGCTCCTCTTTTAGATTTTAAATGGATTTATGAATGAATAAAAATGATATACAGTACTAACATTTGTAACTAGCAAAGTGCTATTAGGTTATATATAAATAAAGACCTAGTTTTGGATGTAGTTCTTTTCTTCTCTTGAAGCTAATCTAATAAGTTTTATGTGGCATATTTGATAGACAATAAAGTACTTTGTATTAATCTGTTAACACAGGAACAATGTCTTTGTGACAATTAACCATGACCTTACAGATGGGATGTTTGTCCTAGATAATTTTAATCTTTGTGCTTTTTGTTATAAATATAAATAAATTAAGTGCTATAATTATTCTTGTTTACATCCTCAGAAGTGAAAATATCTCAATTTCAGGGCTTCCATTCTTATTTCCCTAGCTTTTGGCATACTGGTATGCTGCAGGTTTTCTGCATCTAAAATTTGGTGGATTGATGGAGCTCTGAGCCTGGTGGGCCTGTACTATTTGCCCACATGGCAAGGATTTGCATGTAAGTTGTGGCAGTCTGGGGCATATATGTACAGTATGCTGATAAACGGGTTCTTGCTCATACATTTTTGTTTTATCAACATTACATTCTAAATAAAAAAATTATTTAATTTGCAAAAAATAAAAAAAAGAACAGCATGTACTTCATGAAAAATAGAAAACAGAAATAACCAAAAAATATGTGCTTGCACAAGATAAAGCAGTCTGTGTGTACTGTGCTAGATGGGAATGATGTATACAGTATGTGATAGTGGAGGCAGTGTGCGTTTGTGTGATATTCCAGCTAGTATACTTCCATTCTATTATTGTTCACAATATTGTTGAATTTAAATTGATATCTGTGTAGATTCTATATTTTTACAGACTTAATGCAAAATGTACTTAATTCTTCAAATCTTGTAGGTGCTAACCTCCTGGCTATTTACACCATGTCCATCTGGCCAGAGATGATTGACCGACTAAGCAGGTGTCCAGCGGGACCTACACTGACCCTATCTGTAGTCACTTATCTGGTAGAGATCTTCTTTTCGGTGTGGACTGTGGCATACAACTTTGTCCCCGGAGGAGAGTTCACTAGAGAACACACTGACTATCTTATTGGCTTCATGGTGGTATGCTTAGGCTTGGGACTCTTTACAAGTAAGTTGCAACCAATGACTGAATATTTAACTGGCAAAACATATAGGATGATGTACATATTCTTGTGATATACAAACGTGCTAATTCTGTGAATAAGCAATACTCCGAAGATGCTTAGTGAACTTGCTTTGACAATGAGGTTTGTTTGCTTTGATTGAAGGAAATATCTCAGTTTTGTGTAAATATATGATTGATTTTCTGAGGATGTTATCAGGGAAAATGGGCCTAATATGTTTCTTTTTCCTGCAAAGGCTCAAGTGTAAAAGTCCCTGGCCACACAGCCTTCAGTTTGAAGAAGCCCAATGGCACAGTGAAGGGAGCTCTATTGTGTATGGTGTTACTGGGTCTGGGAGGATTTCTGTCAAGGCAGGACCCTAACAGATATAATCATCCAGTGAAGGTATCAATAACATGCTATAGAAATGGTCCACTGTGTTAAAAAGTCTCATTCACTTATAACTTTCTTTTTTTTTTTTAAGTACGAGAAATTGTCAAAAAATGTACATGTTTTTGTATTGAGTTTTAAGCTTTTAAAAATGGATAATTTGTTTAGTCATATTTCCCTAATTTCACTGAATTTTGGTTCATATTCCCAGTATTCACCCAAGACATTCCGTGCCGCTATATGGACGTACCACTTCGGATATGATAACAAAGGATGGCCAAGTTTGGAGAGGTCCTTTCAACTATTAAATGATACAGGTAAGGGGAAAAACTAAGTCAAGGATATGTGCAAAATGACAAGTAAGACCACTAAATGTAGATCCCGGACTGCACTGACTAACTTGGAGAGGTTCTTATGGTGGAGAGGTTCTTCTTATGGTAATATAATAAAGGTGATGAGGGAGTTGAATATTCATTTGGAGAATTTCCTCTGTTGTTGATGTTTTATGGTGAATTATAAGAGTTGTTAGATTTTATGTTCAGAAATGAGGAAAATGTAGGGTAATGAAAATTAACTAACATTTATTTAATCATGAATCTTCATTCTTCAACCCTGGAGCAGATGGGGAGAGGGGATCAAGTAACTGTGGTGCATTTATGAATGACTAACAATATTCAAAATCTCAGGTGCTGACTTCATTACTCTCCTGGAGAGTGATGCATCCAAGCCATTCCTGGGTAATAACGACCTTGGGATGTGGTTAGGGGAGAGGCTGGGCATGTATGTGGACTTTGGACCCGCTACAAAAGACCACACTTGGGGGTAAGAATTGGGTCATGTTTAAGTTAGACCAGTGTTACAGTGTAGATTAAAAAATGTGGTGTGTAGGTCATTAGTTCAAGTAGCTGTATAAAATGGCGAGTGTTTGCTGTGTGAAGGGGACACTTTACTTTTCCAGACTCATACATGATAAATTGTACAAGGGCTGAAATGCTGATGAAATTAGTTTTTGTAGTAACAGTATTACCCTTTTCTTATGAATAAAAACGAACCGATGAATTTTTTTTACCTTCTTTCAACCCGGTTCAGAAACTTGAAAATAGTATTAAAACAGTTCTTACACTTCTATATAGGTCCTACTGTAGTTTTTCCCTTACTTGTGAATACATTTCCTGTGTTTGTGAATGTTTTGTCTGCCACTTTCTTTCATCCTGATATCATTTTTGTTTTACAGAAATCTTATCCTCTCCAAGTATCCCATTGTCAAGTCTAAACATCATCTGCTTCCTTCTCCACATGGTTAGTATTTGTATATGAATATGATGCTTTCATGTCAAAAGTGTGTGCTGTTTATCATTGTAGTATACAGGTACTGTATTTCTAAACCTACATTGTGTATGTGTTTAAATTCATAATAAAAATATTCCATATAATCAGCATTTTTCTTTCTTCTTACAGGTGAGCTCGCTCCTGGCATTACAGCTACGGTGAACTATAGCGGTAGTCTAGTGGACTTTGTGGTCACACACATGGGCAATGACCGGGATGTACTGGACAGGGAACTGCAGGCAAAGTTTTTAGCCAATGAACTGAAAAATAGGTCAGTTCAAATTTTCAAACGAATTCTTTGTAGCTGATGCAGTGATAACAGATATGACAGTATATTAAAATTTTTAAAAAAATCACATTTATAATAAGAATATGGCTTAAGGCATTTGTATTATTTGTAAAGTTCACTATTCAGTTTTGAACCCATAGGTATGGTACACTGTGATGCCAAGTAGATATTTTCTGAAGAGACACTCAAAGAGAATATTTATTTTTTCACCTGAAGAAGTAAATTAGTTTGTAAAGAATTATCACCCTACCAGTCTGTGCCAGCTACATTTAGCCCACCACTGACCTGCTTCACAAAAAGAGACTTTGACACAAAATAAAGCGACAATAGTTAAAGTATATGAAATAAATTCCATTTATTTTATTATAGGAAAGACACATCTCAGACCACTACTTTATTTAAATAAACTACTCTGGATTTATCTTATGGTTTTGGACAATGAATCCATAAAATAACAGTTCCCTCCAGACAAATAGTTTGATATATGACATGGCCAAACCTTCAGAATTAATACAATACCTTGTCACACAAGGGCAACTTTGTTTTACTGTAGTTAATAATTAAAATCAAAATCACAATTATATCTTTTGTCAATTTTTGCTTTCAGGATAACTTTCAAAATGCCCAATCATATATCTAATCACGTAGTTTACCTAAGCGTTTATTATAGAATTATGTAGAATTTTTGGAACATCTTTCAGCAAGAACCCAGCCGTCTTCCTCGGTTATGTCACCTCCTCCCCTGGGAGCAGAGACTACTACCAGTTCATCAACCAAGGTCAGGTCAAGGACATTGATGCCACAGACAGGGAGAGATGGTGTGAATACATTATGTATAAAAAACTTATCAGGTAAGTGACAGGTTTAAAGATTAAAAATTGGTAAAAGAATATATTTAGATATAATGATAAACATTCTTTTAATGTATTTTAATGTGCAACATTAATCACGTATCAGGTAAACTAAAATAAAATGAGGCCTGAGAATTGTATATATGTTCTGATACTGCATGGACATCATTTTTGCTTCGGGCCTGATTATTTCTAAACTATAGTGTCCCAAAAGGCAAGAAGACGAAAAGTGTTTGGCACATTCAGAAGTGAACAAGGAATAGGCTATTAACATATATTTTTTTAATTAATATTTTTTTCTTGAAAAATTGGCAGTGGAAAGAACTAATATTTATATACACACATTTATGCAGTAAGAATTCAAATATTTGTCACACTGGAAATACAATAACTATAAATATAGCCTGGTGATTTTCTCATCAGACTGGGCTATGCCAGGGTATCCCACGGAGGTCTCAGTGACACAGAGCTCCAGATGGCCACCTTTCAGATCCCTGAGGACACTGACCACTACAAGGACAATGACAAATATGTCACTGACCCAAACAAGGTGGATGAAAAGCACAGGTTTAATGAAAGGTATGGTGAAGTCTTTTGGAAAGTAAATTATATGGGTTGATTATTCATATTGAGCTTCATTTAATCAAAGGGTGTTATATGGGTAACATGTAGGGTAAATAATTTTGTACACTATGTAGACTAAATTAAACTAAGTGCTGTAAAATGTAGATTAAGGGGCCAATCCTGTTGATTTTTTTCCTGCACACTTTTCTGCACATTTGAAAAACCCCACAGTCATATTTGTTTCCTAGAAAATTTCTTATATTTCTTAATTCAGTCTCTAAAGACAATGAAATTCTTAAGATAAAAGCTTATCTGAAGCATACCTTGTGTTGCTACAAAAAACACTGCCATTTTTTGTGTGAAAATAAATCGGTTGTTTTTGCTGGCTAGTCATGCAAAAGTAATTTAGAAGTATGATTTTAAAATTGGAATAANAACAATCGGCATGCAGCCTGAGTTGGAAGAGCAGTCTAATTGGATTCTTTTTCTGGAAGTTATACATTTTCAAAGTGTGAACTTGAACTCCCATGGGCCTGAAGACTTATGCTTGTTACACATTTTACTTACATTGGAATTACCTGTTGAGCATAATTAAAATTTGATGTTGAATTTGCAGTTTAACATAATGTACTTTTGCATCAGAATTGACAGTACCCTATTTTGTTTTTTCCTGCTTTTTGTCTGTACATTTGACAGCTTTGCTGCCTTGTTGTTTTATCAACATTACATTCTAAATAAAAAAATTATTTAATTTGCAAAAAATAAAAAAAAGAACAGCATATACTTCATGAAAAATAGAAAACAGAAATAACCAAAAAATATGTGCTTGCACAAGATAAAGCAGTCTGTGTGTACTGTGCTAGATGGGAATGATGTATACAGTATGTGATAGTGGAGGCAGTGTGTGCGTTTGTGTGATATTCCAGCTAGTATACTTCCATTCTATTATTGTTCACAATATTGTTGAATTTAAATTGATATCTGTGTAGATTTTATATTTTTACAGACTTAATGCAAAATGTACTTAATTCTTCAAATCTTGTAGGTGCTAACCTCCTGGCTATTTACACCATGTCCATCTGGCCAGAGATGATTGACCGACTAAGCAGGTGTCCAGCGGGACCTACACTGACCCTATCTGTAGTCACTTATCTGGTAGAGATCTTCTTTTCGGTGTGGACTGTGGCATACAACTTTGTCCCCGGAGGAGAGTTCACTAGAGAACACACTGACTATCTTATTGGCTTCATGGTGGTATGCTTAGGCTTGGGACTCTTTACAAGTAAGTTGCAACCAATGACTGAATATTTACCTGGCAAAACATATAGGATGATGTACATATTCTTGTGATGTACAAACATGTGCTAATTCTGTGAATAAGCAGTACTCCCAAGATGCTTAGTGAACTTGCTTTGACAGTGAGGGTTGTTTGCTTTGATTGGAGGCAAAATCTCAGTTTTGTGTAAATGTAATGATCGATTTTCTAACAATATTATCCGGAAAATGGGCCTAATATGTTTCTTTTTCCTACAAAGGCTCAAGTGTTAAAGTCCCTGGCCACACAGCCTTCAGTTTGAAGAAGCCCAATAGCACAGTGAAGGGAGCTCTATTGTGTATGGTGTTACTGGGTCTGGGAGGATTTTTGTCAAGGCAGGACCCTAACAGATATAATCATCCAGTGAAGGTATCAGTAACATGCTGTGGAAATGATCCACTGTGTTAAAAAAAGTCTCATTCACATATAACTCTTTTTTTTTTTTTTTTTAAATACAAGAAATTGTCACAAAATGTACATGTTTTTGTATTGAGTTTTAAGCTTTTAAAAATGGATAATTTGGTTAGTTATATTTCCCTAATTTCACTGAATTTTGGTTCATATTCCCAGTATTCACCCAAGACATTCCGTGCTGCTATATGGACCTACCACTTTGGATATGATAACAAAGGATGGCCGAGTTTGGAGAGGTCCTTTCAACTATTAAATGATACAGGTAAGGGGAAAAACTAAGTCAAGGATATGTGCAAAATGACAAGTAAGACCACTAAATGTAGATCCCGGACTGCACAGACTAACTTGGAGAGGTTCTTATGGTGGAGAGGTTCTTCTTATGGTAATATAATAAAGGTGATGAGGGAGTTGAATGTTCATTTGGAGAATTTTCTCTGTTGTTGATGTTTTATGGTGAATTATAAGAGTTGTTAGATTTTATGTTCAGAAATTAGAAAAATGTAGGGTAATGAAAATTAACTAACATTTTTTTAAATCAAGAATCTTCATACTTCTACCCTGGAGCAGATGGGGAGAGGGGATCAAGTAACTGTGGTGCATTTGTGAATGACTAACAATATTCTAAATCTCAGGTGCTGACTTCATTACTCTCCTGGAGAGTGATGCGTCCAAGCCATTCCTGGGTAATAATGACCTTGGGATGTGGTTAGGGGAGAGGCTGGGCATGTATGTGGACTTTGGACCTGCTACAAAAGACCACACTTGGGGGTAAGAATCGGGTCATGTTTAAGTTAGATCAGTGTTACAGTGTAGATTAAAAAATGTGGTGTGTAGGTCATTAGTTCAAGTAGCTGTATAAAATGGTGAGTGTTTGCTGTGTGAAGGGGACACTGTACTTTTCCGGACTCATATACATGATAAATTGTACAAGAGCTGAAATGCTGATGAAATTAGTTTTTGTAATTACAGTATTACACTTTTCTTATGAATAAAAACGAACCGATGAACTTTTTTTACCTTCTTTCAACCCGGTTCAGAAATATATTTCCTATGTTTGTGAATGTTTTGTATGCCACTTTCTTTCCTCCTGATATCATTTTTGTTTTACAGAAATCTTATCCTCTCCAAGTATCCCATTGTCAAGTCTAAACATCATCTGCTTCCTTCTCCACATGGTTAGTATTTGTATATGAATATGATGCTTTCATGTCAACAATGTGTGCTGTTTATCATCTTAGTATACAGGTACTGATTTTCTAAGCCTACATTGTGTATGTGTTTAAATTCATAATAAAAATATTCCATATATTCAGCATTTTTCTTTCTTCTTACAGGTGAGCTCGCTCCTGGTATTACAGCTACGGTGAACTATAGCGGTAGTCTAGTGGACTTTGTAGTCACACACATGGGCAATGACCGAGATGTACTGGACAGGGAACTGCAGGCGAAGTTTTTAGCCAATGAACTGAAAAATAGGTCAGTTCACATTTACATATGAATTCTGTGTAGCTGATACAGTGTTAACATATATGACAGTTTATTTAAATTTTTAAAAAATCATACCTTTTAGAGTAGGAATATGATTTAATGCATTTGTATTATTTGTAAAGTTCACTATTCAGTTTTGAACCCATAGGTACACTGTGATGCCAAGTAGATATTTTCTGAAGAGACACTCAAAGAGAATATTTATTTTTTCATCTTGAGAAGTAAATAAGTTTGTAAAGAATCATCACCCTACCAGTCTGTGCCAGCTACATGTAGCCCACCACTGACCTGCTTCACAAAAAGAGACTTTGACACAAAATAAAGCGACAATAGTTAAAGTATATGAAATAAATTCCATTTATTTTATTATAAGAAAGACACATCTCAGACCACTACTTTATTTAAATAAACTACTCTGGATTTATCTTATGGTTTTGGACAATGAATCCATAAAATAACAGTTCCCTCCAGACAAATAGTTTGATATATGACATGGCCAAAACCTTCAGAATTAATACAATACCTTGTCACACAAGGGCAACTTTGTTTTACTGTAGTTAATAATTAAAATCAAAATCACAATTATATCTTTTGTCAATTTTTGCTTTCAGGATAACTTTCAAAATGCCCAATCATATATCTAATCACGTAGTTTACTTAAGCGTTTATTATAGAATTATGTAGAATTTTTGGAACATCTTTCAGCAAGAACCCAGCTGTCTTCCTCGGTTATGTCACCTCCTCCCCTGGGAGCAGAGACTATTACCAGTTCATCAACCAAGGTCAGGTCAAGGACATTGATGCCACAGACAGGGAGAGATGGTGTGAATACATTATGTATAAAAAACTTATCAGGTAAGTGACAGGTTTAAAGATTAAAAATTGGTAAAAGAATATATTTAGATATAATGATAAACATTCTTTTAATGTATTTTAATGTGCAACACGTATCAGGTAAACTAAAATAAAATGAGGCCTGAGAATTGTATATATGTTCTGATACTGCATGGACATCATTTTTGCTTCGGGCCTGATTATTTCTAAACTATAGTGTCCCAAAAGGCAAGAAGACGAAAAGTGTTTGGCACATTCAGAAGTGAACAAGGAATAGGCTATTAACATATATTTTTTTAATTAATATTTTTTTCTTGAAAAATTGGCAGTGGAAAGAACTAATATTTATATACACACATTTATGCAGTAAGAATTCAAATATTTGTCACACTGGAAATACAATAACTATAAATGAAGCCTGGTGATTTTCTCATCAGACTGGGCTATGCCAGGGTATCCCACGGAGGTCTCAGTGACACAGAGCTCCAGATGGCCACCTTTCAGATCCCTGAGGACACTGACCACTACAAGGACAATGACAAATATGTCACTGACCCAAACAAGGTGGATGAAAAGCACAGGTTTAATGAAAGGTATGGTGAAGTCTTTTGGAAAGTAAATTATATGGGTTGATTATTCATATTGAGCTTCATTTAATCAAAGGGTGTTATATGGCTAACATGTAGGGTAAATAATTTTGTACACTATGTAGACTAAATTAAACTAAGTGCTGTAAAATGTAGATTAAGGGGCCAATCCTGTTGATTTTTTTCCTGCACACTTTTCTGCACATTTGAAAAACCCCACAGTCATATTTGTTTCCTAGAAAATTTCTTATATTTCTTAATTCAGTCTCTAAAGACAATGAAATTCTTAAGATAAAAGCTTATCTGAAGCATACCTTGTGTTGCTACAAAAAACACTGCCATTTTTTGTGTGAAAATAAATCGGTTGTTTTTGCTGGCTAGTCATTCAAAAGTAATTTAGAAGTATGATTTTAAAATTGGAATCAAAAAATCCAAATGTGGGGATGGATCAAGCAAAAACTCCTGAGAGGGAGAAAATTGCTCTTTACCCCTGGAAAATTCAGTTAGGGAATTCTATGTAGTTGCCCTTTTAATACGTGAATAAAAGTATACTAGTAAGTAGTATATATTCTGTTATGTATGTACATTTTTTTCATATACACTATTTTCAGACCAGAGTAATTATTGTTTTTCAATATATATATATATATATATATATATATATATATATATATATATATATATATATATATATATATATTTTTTTTTTTTTTTTTTTTTAAACTTTTTGCACAATTAATGGAGATGTTTTTGAAAGGACCAGTGTAGATTATAACCTACAAGGCTGGAATAATCTAAGATGTGATGAAAATTAAAGAATTATGAAAAAAATGCCGGTTTTTATATCATTAGAAGCTATTGAAAAGTTAGTTGCATGCTTAATGCTGTGTCTGTTTGAAAAACGAGTCAGAATTTCTCTGAATGTTAAAGGTAGTCTAGTTTTTAGACCAGTGGCATGTTTATAATTATTATTTATCATTATTTATTCTAGGTTTGGCCGCTACACTGTGGGCCATAACTGGATAGAGGAGCATCGGTTCCACATGAGCACACCAAAATATTTCATACATCGTGAGGGAAGTTGAGCCAATACTTGGCATTTGAAGCAATATGAAGTTTTTTCACAAAGATTATGGCGCACAAAGTTTATACTGCATTTATACTGATATAACAGTGTTTCTTTTGATATCAAAAGGTTTTACAAGTGTTCATAGTGCCATTAGCTGAAAATGTTTCATGAAGTTAATATTGCATTTCTATTCTTATTGCAATATTTCTTTTGATATCAAAAGTTTTGCTAAGTGCATGTAGTGCCATAAGATAATATTGTTTCAAGATTTTTGTTGGTTGCATCCATTTCTGAAATTTAAGAACTCCCACGATTATTTTAACTAATATAAGGTTTAATTATGGTTTCTGCTTTTACAGCATCTCTTGTATAAAAATAACCTGCTAACCATAACTAAATTATTTATTCAGAAACTGGAAAAAGTAACCATTGTTTATTATGTTATTTTATTGTACCACCAGCGTGGCAGCATTTCGCCTCTGGTTCACCCGTATTTTATGATGTAAATCCAGTGTTTTGTTACCCTTTTTTTCACAAGATATTGTATTTTAGTTTTAATGTGCATATATTGTCATTTAAGAGTAGGTACTAAGATAGTATGTTATGGTTGTGAAGAAATGACCAGAAAGTGTCTGTTAATTTTTTAACAAGTGAAATGTGTTAACTCGTTGGTGTTTGGTGTTTTATGTATGCAGTGCCATACTCTTTAATTAAGCAAATATTAGATTATTTACTGTAACATTTTGCTTTTGTCTTCCATGTTATTTTAACTTGTTTGTTTGTCTGAGTATTTATATAGTTGCAAGCAACTTTGGAAACTTAATGAGAGTATGTACCAAAATTAATAAAATTTTAACGATTTCTATTATTTTTTTAACATGTATGGAATGTTTCATTTACCAGTTGCAATACGTAGAGCACATTCCAAAATAACGATAATAATAAATAAATAAGTGCATGTGTCTATTTAACAGAGGAACATCAGCATCTGAAAGAAATGAAAGTTCAAAGGTTATAGCTACAATAGATCTAGTAGAAGACGGCTCTTTCATCGTTGCAGCGTATTGACAGATGTTGGATTGGTAGTGCTATACATGTAAAAACACTCATTTTTAAATGAATAAAGTTATTCTTAATGCTGCCGATATGTTTTAGCCATTAATGTGATTAGGGCGCACTAGCGTCACGTCTCCCGTTTGTGACGCACCACTTACGTCATAAAACGTACGACCACTTGCGTCATAGACAAAACTTCGGACGTCAGACATCACTACCCAGCTGCCGGTCGTTATACCAAACAACAGGTAATAGTTATGCTCTCTTTTTCCGCTAAAACTTGATCGTGTAATTTCATTATTTTAAAAATCACTATATCTATCCATTGATCAAGAAGGATACTATGAAAATTGGTCGGTAAATTTTGCCCTTTTCAGTTTTTTCCCCACCAAATCAAAGTCTTCTACTCCATCGCCCGTGTCCTGGTATTCCATTTTTAATTCAGTAATTTTGATTATAGTAATCTAGTTGTTTGGACCATCATGTCTTCCTGAACATTTCAGAAAAAAAATCGACATCAGACAAAAGGGTTTAATCGTTTTTAAGGTTTGAGTTGGAGAAGATGCACCAAGTAGGAATTTAAGAAATGCAGACGTAAAGTATGGCTTTGAGACCTTTAAACAACCACATTTTGAACTATTTCTAATTTGAACTATTTCTAAGTGTTTCTGCTTTTATTTTCATTCGTCTTTGCGAATGTGAAGCAGGGTTATGCTTAGACATAGAGGGAAAAGCTGTAATGAATAAAAAGACATCTTTTAATGTGGGACCAAAGAACGCAGAATAACGCATTTAATATTACCCATAAGACTGTTCATGATTCCAAGGGTTTCTATTCACTAGCGTTTTAATGATAATTATCATTTACTTTAGAATATGGGAACAGAATTATTTATGAAACTGCTACGCTTCGCTCTTGTCACAAGAGCACCATCAGGCTGAATGTCCACTGATCGTTAGGTGTTGGTAGACTTCTGAACGATTCTCACGAGGGGTACATGTAGTAATTGGAGGAATGACCAGGACCGAGCATTTAAGATGTGAAATGTTTTTGAAATTAGAAAAAAAATCAATTTTATCAATTCTACTAAATCATTTCTACTAAAGACTAGAAACACATTGGTTGTTCACAGTAAATGCCTTCTTTTTTTTTCTTTCCCTTTCCCTCTTTTTTCTATTTTTCTGTTTTCCCATTCTACTTCAACCTGAAATTTTAATTAGAAGTTCGTCATTCGTATCTGCGCATAGATTAGTAATCGTCCAGCAAACTTTCAAAAATATCAAAATTATTTTTTAAACACGAGGACAGTTTCCATACTTTAACATTATTATATAGAAAAAGAAAAAGAAAGAAAACCCCCCATGATACTCAAAGCAAATGTATGCAACATCAGCACAGACAGTACATGTACATCGTTCCTGTAAAAACGCTGGCTGGCATAAAAACGTGAAAATGTCTTCTTTAAAAAGATGAATGGGCACAATTTCCGTATTTAGGTTTGTTTTTCTTCGGCTTGCCAATAAAGTTTATACAATTCACAGTAAATGTTAAGATCCGATATACACGTTCGATACCGTAGAAACACCACTGCCAGTTTTTCTTGCCCGTTCATAACTTAAAGAACCCACTTCCAGCAATTTCCGGCAATGTCCGGCTTCCTTTCGTACAATTACGGGCCATAAATACACAAACAATATCGACCCAAACATTAAGCTACCTTAATAACATCAATAAGTTTACCTTTCCATTGTCGTGAATGGAGCATTGATTTAAGAGGTCGAATCGATAAAACCAAATAATCTATTGACGCTGTGTGGACGGGCTTTGTGATGTGTATACCAGTCTTGGCAACTCGACGCCGCTTGCTTAACTACCAAACATAAACACGAACTTTGTTCCTGTGTATTGAGTCGCACCAATCAGAATAAACTGAACTGATTGAAATAGCAGCACACTAGTAGTTTAACATGGCGGCAACGGAGGTATACACTATACTGCCTGGGTCTAGCCGGGGCTCTAGAGCTGGACTCAGAACACCTAGTTTAGGCAGTGTCAAGGGATCTGGTGATGTCCGAGTAAGTGTTCATGACAGTGTGTGTTATAACTTGTCTGACAATTTTAAATCTTTATAATCGTGTATAATGGTGGTAGTTACATCCAAATATAATAACACGTGAGAGTACGCCTATGCGACCGCTCTCTGTTTGAGATGGGTGACAAATTACCAAATGTAAACGTTTTTCGACCACATCACAGTGTCGGCTGAACTGATTTGAAAATTCCCCAAACGCTGTTTTAGTCACTGTAGGTCTAGTAGGCCTACACGCCAGATACGCCCGACAAGCCGACACGTACTGTCGAGATGGGTTCCCTTCTCACGTTGTCATCATACACTGAACATAGACATCTGATCATGTCTGAAATGAGAGATTGAATGAACGGAAATTCTGCGTTGAACAAAACATGAAACCTATGAATAGAAAATTTCTTTGGTAAAACGATATTGGGTTAAAGACCCTACAACAGCCGCTACAACTCCTTTAATTTATATTCACATCAGGTTACAAATATCTTGTTTGACGTATTTCTTTGCAGTTGGAGTCGACAGTGCATAAAACATAATTATAAGGCTTTTATTCATTGTCACGAACATCATTTCAAAACTGGTGTCAGCGTCAGCTTTTCAATGATCAACACTTTGTATACTGTATCAAAATGAATAACAAAATTACAGTCGAATGACTCGAATCTAATTATTTTGAAACCTATTTTGTCTTTAACTAAAATGGAAGTAAAAATGACATGTACAGAAAGTAGAAAGAAAACAATTATTGGAATTATAATTTCAAGTTAAACTTCACTATGTTCGAGATCCCAGCCAAATCTTGTTATTGAGGTTTCTTTAATATCCTAGCAAAACAGTGTATGAGACCTGTCTATCTCTAAGCTGTTACCGTAAATATTAATATTTTACGGTAACAGCTATTTAATTAATATGTATTTTGACAAAATACATCGTCATGTTATCTTTATGCAAGCAATTTAGTTCGGTTGCCACATGGTAGACAGGCCATTAACATCAAAATCAGTATTAATGGAATTTTCAACGACCGTTACGTTCCATTTACATTACAATCGGTAACATCCATGTTACTGAATTAATGTACGTTAATCGTGATATCCCTGCTAGAAAAAGCGAAATGCCGATGTTGATATCATATAAATGTATTGACAATCACTAGGAGTGCCGCTGGATATGATAGAAACATTATTAATTATGTAAATCTATCATGCCGAAGGAAGCGATTACATGTTGAAATTTGAAACAAAAAAATTATGTTGTCTGTACAGAGGCCTAACAGTTCCTCGCGTACTTTAAAATAAGTAAGAGATCTTAATATAATTCAGTGGCACATTTTTTTTCGGTTTTTTTTTTTATTTTAATCAATAGTTCAATTCTCTTTCTTTTTTTAGCTTGGTGAGGATGTTTTAGCTCCGAAATTTTCCGAACATCTTCAAAGTTACATCACCCACAGCAATACAGGACCTCAGGACCAGAGGAAAGCTTTGGATTTACTCACATCTCTACAGTTAGCAGAGGAAGCAAAAGAAGCTGAAAATCCATTGAGGCCGAGAACGGCTATGCCAGCACTAGGTAAGATTTGCGTTATAGATAGATATAAGTCGACATGCCTTTTAACTCCCCAGCTTAACCTTTTTTCTACTGTCTCTCTCTCTCTCTGCGCCCGCGCATGTGTGCTTGTTCTGAAATCTAATTTTTATACATTCACATACACATGTGTAGTTAACATATGCATATAAGTACATATAATGTGACAAGATTCATAATTAATACTTAGTCTGTTAGGAAAAGAACGAAAGTCGTTTCAGATATGAGACTGAAGATTAAAAGGTATAACATTTAGAGCTGGCCAGCTCTTCTGAGTGTATTGTTGGGTTGTAATTCTATCGATAAGATTTTTTTGACGATGAGTAATGTCGTTAGTAATGTAGGAAATTCTGCAGGTGCAATTGCACAGAACTTTACTTTTATGATTATATCCAGCAAAGCCTTGCATTTTGTACCTCCAATTTTTCGAAATGGTTCACAAGTCAAGAATGAATATACCTGTAAGTGCAATGAATGACATTGAACCTTGTGGTTTTTATGAATGAGGTTTATGGCTGTATTGAGTAAGTTAAAATGATATGAGTAGATTAGTAGGCCGTCGATCTCTTCGGGGGCACAGTGAGTGTTTGTAGAGGTGTAATTCTCAAGTGCCTTGACAACGTAAATTAATTCGGGGCGTGGCCAGGGTTAGTAAACACTCCCACATACTGTATATACGTAGCAGTAAGATAAGTTTTATATGGGAACTAACAACCACTATGAAATCAACTGTAAAAAATTAAAACATCCTGCCCTGTGTGATAGTCAAGACATATCATCTAATTTTCCTATTTTCAACGTTTTTCAGGACGTCCAAAATTAGAAAAGATACTTAACCCTTATTTCACAACATATGAAAGAGAATATTATATGAAAATGGCACCAGACACAGACGCTGAAAGGTATGTTTTATCATTAAACTAGTACTAATTCTTACCTCTATTTATAAGTTTAACCATTACTTTTTGTCGAAAGCTAAAATTTCAACGCACCCCCCCCCCCCAACGTTTTGATAGTGTCATTTCCATCTATGATTTTCTACGTCAATGCAAGTGGGCTTTATGACCTTTTAATTGTATAGGGCCATTTATTTATATCTTTTATTTTTTAAAATATATAACTGATGATTTACGAGTATTCAATATGTTGGTTTGTATCTGATGTTTATATTCCATCGTTTTGCCAGGCCAATGACGTCTAGAGCGTTTGCTTCCACATACGAACTTGGTGGCCCTATAGGTGCTACAACATACGATGAAGAGTTTTATAAGAAACCAAATAAAAGAACAGAACCTGTACGATCAGGGACTGCTAGTGGGGCCAGAAGGAATAACCCACATCCACCAGAGGTGAGTGATGCTACCAGGATCCAATGATGTTGGCCTTTTGTGTTAATTTCTTAATTGTTAGTTTCCCGCCCATTTATCTATTTATTTATTTATTGTCTGCTGCGAAAATAGCTTAATAAGCTATTATTAATAAACGTAAAAATTAGCATGATAGGACGTTTATCAGGGGCGGATCCAGGATTATTTGAAGGGGGGGTGTCCGCAGATGCGAAGCCGACCCCTCCCTCCCCCCCTCCCCCCCCCTCCCCCGCCCTCCAGTTGAATTGGTTTCTGAACTTTTGTAGTTATACTGTCATGACTGAACAGAGTCTTTTAGTAAGTTTTCTGAGTTTGTTAAAGGAGAGATAGGTCTTGAATTTTGTCCATGGATAGGCCGAGTGTGAACCCGTGGGGCGCACCTAATGATCGTGGCCTATGTTTAACAGCACAACTGTCGCAATCTGAATTATGTACATCCCAAAGTTTTCGTTGAGTCTCTGATTACGCTATGTTTTGAAAGATGTGATTATTATATCATCAATGTTCCCTGTCGAATGAATTTAAATCCATTTCCTGGTTATAAATCTGATGCCGTCTTTATAGTCATCATTAATGCACAATGCTCTCACGTAGCTGCGATGGCCGAGTGGTTAAGGCGTTGGACTTGAAATCCAATGGGATTTTCCCTCGCAGGTTCGAATCCTGCTCGCAGCGTAACATTTTTCTTTTCTTTTTTTTTTTTGCTTTGACTCCGTAATTTAAGTAAAGTTTTCGAAGAATTTTAGGTATTCCATAAAATTTAATAAAAAGAAATAGAAATAAAAAATAATTTTAATTCATACTTGCTGTAAGTACAATAGGAGGCAATCCACACAGCGTGTCCTATGGCGACGAAAGGCAAATATTCAAATAGTCACCAACATGCAAGGGGTGCAAGGGTTCCATAAGTTAAATTTGATAATGTGTTAATAGTTTAATTGAATTTTATTAAATTCTTAATGTTGATTCATCTATTATTTATTTCAAAAGACCACTTAATAAGCTTTACAATGTTTGATTTCAAAATATTTCTTTTCATGCTCAATTGGCTATATTGTATACATTTTAAGTTAATGCTAAATTAAACATGGAGAAAAGAAAAGAAAGAAACGTCAGGCATCGATCAAAGAGATTTTATGTTAACAAGTAGAAGTGAAAAGTAAGCACTTGACACTGTTTAAAATACTCTTAATAAAAAAGGTAACTTTCACTGACGGCGACAATATGGCATGCTGCACAACAATAGCTCAGGCATTTGAATAGGTATTCAGCATAGAGCAAATAAAAGAAAAATCGAAACCTCACACTGTTGCATTATTGATAAATATTTCATGTGTACCTCGGTGGTCTTTGTTTCAGTCTTTTATGGTGTGGAAGTTTCCTAAGAGATCCATAACGGAGGGGGACTACAGTGAGTGGGCCACGCCACTCAGCGACACCATCATGGAGCAGGTCATGAGGAATAAATTCAGGTCCACGTACCAGGAGGATTTTCTCGGGATTCCACAAGGTAAAAAAGACATTTTTTATTGAAATGATAATGCACTTTTTACTATTATCTGGAATGGCCTATGCAGCCGCGCAGTTACAGTGCATTTGCGTATCATTTGCGTTGCTAGGCACTTGCAGCCCAGGGACTAGTTTCAAAGCGTATAGTCCATACTAAACAATACGAGCAAAACAATTTACAGCAACTTAATAATAAAAAGAAACCTAATGGATTATTATTTATTATTATTATTATTTTTTTTTTACTTATTTGTCCTTTTCTTTGGCAATAGGCTTCCAAATGAAGAACGCGTTTGACGTGTCTAAGGACTGGAAATCTCAAGTTCCCTTCACCTTGGACTCCAGCACTCGGTATTCCTACCAGCAGCCCAACCAGCAGCCGGAGTTACAGGGGAACACCAGCAGATACGGTTGCAATAGGAACAAGCTTGTGCCAGCCAGCGGAGCCGGTGAGTTATACAGCGGGATAATACACATAGGTTTTACTTTAAATTGCAAGCATGACTGCATAATGTGCAACCATTTCCCCAATTTGCTATATGAATATACAAAGAAAGAATGATAAAAAATAAAAAATAAAAGCGGATTTCATAAGGAATGTCAAAACTGATTTAGTCTACTCCTTCAGATTATTGTAACATTTTTTTCATCTCTTAGTTGTACAACCCACCACGATAATATTTTATTTTGTTTTTTGATTTGTAGTTCCAACATGCTCAGAGCGCATGATGCACCTGAAAACGAGAACCACGTACGATCGTGAATACAACGAAAAAGCTCAGCCTCGTCCTCTGCGAGATCTCAACAAATCTCTTGGTGCTAACGCCATTCAGGGCTACATGGCAACTCACAGGCTTGGCAGCAAAGGTAAAAACACAAGTCGTTTGTTTCTAAATTAATGCAGCATGCACAGTGTCTAACTAAGTATAATCTGCATTTGTATTCATACTAACATTAGTATTGCCGTAAGCTTCGTTAAGCAAAACTTGTTGCCTTTTAATGTTTTCTCCAACTAACATCGTACCTTATCTGCTTTGTAAAGCTTCCAAAGGAAAATCAAAATAAACGGAATGCAAACAATGCATACTATGGTAAGACTGCAAAACAGTTGCCCGTGCTGAGAATGTCTGGAGATTCAATTGCCGTGTATTTTCTTTCTCTCTTATTTTTTTTTATCTCATCGTGATAGTATTTGGTTCTATTTTTATTCATTGCACTGGGCGAGCAACCAAGTGATTGTGCTGAGTAACAAGCCCATTTGTTCTGCTGTTTTGTTTATTTTTTTCCCTGTTGTTTGTGTTTGCCTTTTTAATCTTTCACCAAGAAAAGTAAAAAAAAATTGCAAACAATTAATTATTTCAGGACGTAAAAAGTTGACAAAACAAATATATAGTCAATATTGTTAAAATGGTTTTTACCTTCTTTATCTCCTTCATTTTTGAAGGTGTGAATGTGGCGATGTGCTTACGCTACTGAATTATCTTATTTTTAATAAAAGTTAAAGCCATAGGCGTAGAATACGTAATGATTTTTACTTTTTTTCTCTCTTACAGAAAGGGAAATTCTCTCCGGTATGGTAGCAGACCTTCAGAATCTGCCGCGCCCTCCTTCCAATGCGTCGTCAAGGAAATCACGTGTTCCCATGGATACCATGGACATGTATGCCACAGGGCCAACCTGGGTGTCAACATGGGTGGGGCCCACGTAGGGATCAGAGATAGCTTTAGACTTATAAAATATATATGAAAATATTTACTGTCACTGCAGTAGACAGGTTGTGCTAATTCAACGATTATAATATGATCAACGCTAGATCTCATGTTTTAAAACAATTGACATGTACATCATTGTTGGGTTATGTGTTCATTGAAAGTAACTGGGAAAAGCTTTACAGGAGGTTTTGTCTCTCAACTTAAAGAATCTGTTTTTACTACTAAATAGACTGTGATCGAAACGTGTGTTATGCAGACTGCAAGTTCAAGAAACTCGATGACAAAAATCAAAACTAGTCTACTCGACGCTAAGCTTCGAATTTGCTCAATTATTGAATGATATATTCTTGTTCGTGAACTGTCAGTCATATCTAGTGTGTGCAAAATCTGCGTGAAAGGCTTTTGTTATTATTATCAATATTATCTCTACTTGTTTGCATTGTCTCTAAGATGTGGCACGTATTTGTCACGACTCAGTATTTGGTTGCTCAATAAATTTATGAAACAATGTTGTTTTTCGTGAGGAATGCGACAGGTGCGACATAGTGTGCTCTGCGCTAGCTGAAGCATTTCAGTTGTCGTCAGAAAAATAAGATCATTTCAAAAGCGATGTTGATGAATGATGGCCTTACCTTTCAAATTCTAGTGAAAAAATAGCCTTTTTCATTTTCATTTGATTTGCTTTATCTTTTAGAAGAAGAACTGCGCGATTTTGAAACAATATTACCATGGAAACTTCTGTGCTAAAGTAACCCAACCGTATTCTTCAAAAACAAAACTTGACTCGAAATAAAACTGTTCATAGTTAGAAAACACGTTTCCTGTGGGAATTAATATTCTGAATGTTTTACAACTGCAATGGTGTCCAAAGAGGAAAAATATCTTTACGGGGCGCAATCGTATGAGTCTCTGTCCCACTTACTGTATCTTTTTCAAATTCATTCATATGTGAAGGTGAGGTTGAGAAAGGCTGAGCACGAATTAAACGTATCTTCTCCAGCACAACGTACTCAACGCAAAGCTGGTTGCCCGCCGCAACGAGAGAACTGACGTCACGTCCGTAACCCGATCCAAAGAGCTAGTAGTAAAGGGGGATATCAAGGCGTAGATTATTTGGGACTGAGGAAGGAAAAGTACGAAACTGATCTCAAAAGGTGAAAAAAAAAACACATTCGTACTTTTAGATTGAGCGAGACAGAAAAGTTATTGTATGCGACTAATAGAGACTGCCATGGCAAGAAAACGTTGACGTAATGCAAAAGTAACGCGTGCTTGACCGAGCCTCCTCCCGGTGTTCATAATCTATAAACTGACACGAGAGCCGAGCCGTGTCATTTTATCCCAGTTATACCGGGGCAATCAAGGAAAACGCGCCTTATTATCCATAGGACGCCTGTGACGTTCCGGATCAGAAATAACATTTATAAATCAAACAAAATAATAATTTTCGAACATTTCAACTTACTCGGTATAACAATAATTAAACCAACTGATATCAAAATTTACTTCAAACAATTCCAGCGCCTGCAAAAACATTAAAATTCTGCTCCGTTGTCCGTTGTTTATTCTTCCGTAGACTGAAGTCGGAAGCTGGAATTGAGTAGAGCTCTCCCCGGCAAGTAATGACAGACATGCTGCACATCTGGAGGTGGCAGGACGCACTCGCCCTCCTCAGCCTTATATGTAGGCTGCTATGACGTGGGAAGCCCGAAACGCACTCCTAGGGATGTCTTAGTGTCGGGGTTACAAAACATGTAAACAATTCTATTGGGTATCCTGCGACACGGTCAAAGAGTTCAATTAATTGCTTGGCTAAAACGAGTCTTTTACTTGGAATTTCTAGGAATTCCGGAATGGCTCAGGACGCAGTGCGATAGCGTGGAAGTACCTCTGCAGCATATTAAACGAAGGGATGCAAGTATATATTATCAGAAATCTACTAGGCACAGCGCACCGCTGAGATTGGAAACCACAAATCCGGGATCTACAGGCGACTGATTTTTCATTCCTATATGCATTATCAACACTGACACCACGAGTCATAGGGCAATTGGAAAATATTGGTAAGGAACGCCTGGTTCGATAATAAACGCTCCGGTTCTTAGGGCATTCAGCGGCAGGTTATAGAAAGTCTGAGGAATAGCACGCACTGTGCAGAAAACCCGGGCAGAAGGATCATTTGGGTCTTTGAATTTCCTTGAAAATCGAGGGTAGGGCGGCAATATTTCCTAGAAACTGATATTGGCTCTGGACATAGCTTTTCCCGATGACAAGCTCGAATCGGGTCTGGAAACGCTTCCTTGCACAAATTCCTGGGAAGCCTTTACTGTTCCGTTTGTAGCTGACGAATTATGCGAACGCCAGAGGGACCGCCAAGGAATGCAGTATCACTGGTATAGACTCTTCGTGCTAGAGCTAAATGGGATTTGAGAAGAAAATACCATCGGTGGAAGAGAGTAAGTGAGCTTTACTATGAATTTCATTGTAGTCTCGTTGTTATTATTATTCGCCGGATATTGGCCGTGATAAGAGCGTTAGTATTCTGTTTTGTGTAAAATCCATGCTATATGGTACTGTCTGTATCAGCTTTCAAAACAAGAACCGGTCTCGTTTTTACGCAGCGCTCGTATGAAATGGTAATAGTCGAAGGTTGACTTTATTACGTAATCTCAGAAATAGTTTCATCAAGATAGTAATTAATATCAACATATCCAATGATCATTCATTATAACCTAAAATCACCCTTTCAATAGTTTATCTAATAATCATATGAAGCGGTAGGCCCATTGGCGCATGTACTAATACTAGTAAGTAAATGTGGTTATATTGGTGTAGCAGTCATGTAGTTAAGTGCAAGACAGCTCAATACTTAATGACACGGCCTAACCTGACGACAGCAGACAGTGACAGGCATAAGATAACACATGCTCCAACGTACGACACAACCACAGAGAAAGAACCACATTGCTGTGTTGGAGACCCGGTCATATTCATAATCATGCTGCAGCCAGGAATAATGATGTAGCCAGAAATGTGCATTCCACGATAAGAGAGGAAAACGAACATCAGAAGATGCTCGAGCAAAGGTGATTACTGCTATTCTGGTATCAAAGGATTGCATAGTATCGCATCATGAACATCTTATCAACCTGGGCAGAGCAAGCATGAGAGAGCGTTCTGGGAATTGGTGCGACGATGAGGTATGCAGGCAGCAAGAGGAGGTCACCCCGTTAATTTGTTTGAACGAATTTGCAATAGAATGAGGCGAAATTTCGCTCAAAATAATAAGGACGAGTAAAAGGAAAGAAACCATGAGGTTTACATCAAGTGGGAGGTCAGACGTCCATTTCTGCAGCAGGAGATTAGCTGCAGAATCAGTCAAACATGCCGGCGAAGATGTTGAGAATTCTGGCTCATTAACCACAACCATACATGTACATGAAACCCATTATTTTGTGAGCCATGCAAACATTTTAAAGATATAAAGACTAAATTAAATGCTTGGTTCTAAAGACTTGCAGTAGGCCGGTGTATTATGACATACCATCTGCAGGAGGCTGACTGGGAGGGTGGGTGGGTGGGGGCGGGGTGAGGGGGGATGACATACAACACTTCTGTATGCTGAGACTCTTTTTATCTTTATTATAAATTCTTTTTATGGCTCATTTCATTAACAAATTCATAGCGCTTTACAGAATATCTTTAATTATTTAGAATAATAACGATATATGAAAAAAATGACTCTGACAATAACATTAAAAAACACAAACAAGAATCATTTCTAGTTTGTTTTTGTTTTTTTTTTTTCAATTTCTTAAATTTGTAAATATCTGTCTAAATATCTGTTTTCAGTAAGTTCTTAAAAGAATCAGCGCATATTAACTCAGCTCCAAGTTTGAGATAAATATGTAAAAATCACAGAATCAAAATTTAACAGCCACACTGGCACGCTCGACCTAGACCTTGACAGCGCAGTCAGCTGTACATATTGCGGAGTATCATACTAATATAATAAATTTATTTTAAGTCTAAAATCCATTTAAACTCGAACTACTGAGTCTTATCCTCAGATTCAGGTGTAAAAAAGATAGACATGCGATCAACGTAATTTGACGTATACATTGTTGACAACCCTAATTACATGCCATGCGTATCAAATAGAGAAAATGCATGAAATACCACTGTGGCTTATTTCATCACTTTCTGAGAAATCCCGTCACGGTTTATTCTTTGATTGAACTGCCTGACACATAGGCATAAATGGAACATCTTGCGCGCATTAATGTTGAATGAACAACAAATGTATTAATTGCTTCTGTTGTTTTTTTTAAGTCTTATTTCTGGAAAATGACATCAAGCTACCGTCACATGGTTTTGAATTGATTACCCAGTTAAACTAATCAACACCTAAACAACACGAAAAGACGCTGCTTGCACGCACTTTTTTCGAGCGTATGCCAGCAGCTACTGATTTACAGTGATTATACCCTTGTTTTACCAGTGGTGATTAAACAGCAAACGCGAATTCCTAGAATAATTTTCAGAAACTTTCCTGGAAGTGAAGATATCCCCGATTATCCCAGTCCGTCTTATCACTGGAACAATGCTCTAACGGCTCGACACCTTGGCAGCTATAATACATCAAACCTGTGCTGCCGAGTCTTGTTTAAAGGGGCTCAGGAGGCATCTCTTATTAGAAACGCGTTCCAGGTTATGATGCCCGCAGGCTGGCTAGGGATACCTGTAAAGTAGGCCTAGATCTTATTCAATCACATCATTATGTATGATAAAGTCTTCTGACGGATGACTTTAAAAATTGATTAAATTCATTTGTGGTTGTACATTTTAAAAGCCGCCCTCCTCCCCTCCCCCTCCCCCTCCCCCCCCCCCCCAAAAAAAAAAAAAAAGAAATAACATTTCTGCTCATATCCCACAAATTGCCAATATCCCAGGTAATTGAGATCCACCGTCAACATTTTGTTTACTAGGAAATATGATAGCAATTTTTCTGCAAATGTTTGGGCATTTCTCTTCTTCAAAGGTAGGATCTTATTGTGGCTTTACTGTTCTACCTGCACCCTGAATTTCACATACCCATTCACCCAATGCACCCTTTCCGTCACAAGCCAATACTGGTCATAAAGGGGGAGTATTTTCAATAAACTTTTAACTTCAAGGCAGCTAATAAATGCATCCAAGGCCTCTGAAGGAGAAATACATCTTTGATATTTGAATTATTAATCTACATCTATCACAGTCTGCGGCCGCCATTAAAGAAGCTCAGTCTTGAAATGATTTCATAGTTCGGTTGGGACGTTTTTGATCTCTGACGCCTCACACGTCCAAGATGCTTTGAGATCCACAAGTTATTTTCTAGCTGTCAGGATCACTTAAATGGCAAGCGGCCTCACTCCTAATTTAATATTCCCATTTTCTTACTATTTCTTCATCTTGTCGAGATCGACATGCACACGACTAGGGAGGCATAAAACGTCGTTCGTGTCCAGTGGAATAATTCCCTCATTCTGGTTCTCAAAACTGATGAATGAATGAATGAAAAAAGTCAGTTTGCAGGGGAAAAAAATCGATATACAACAAATGTAAATTGAGAAAAAGTCTCAAAATAACTATCAGAAGCACATAATCTGCGTGGCTCAGACAAGATATCAAGACTACGTATGGCCTTCTGACTCCTAGAATGAATACCGTTCATTCTACAAGGCACGCGTGCCTCCTGTGCTATGTGCTATATCAAGAAATAGATTATCTCACAAGTGAGAGAAATTTACCGACAGCTCTAACCTATTTTTTCGGAGATCCGTGGTAATTAAAATAGACTCGGGTGTTATATATATATGCAACCACGCGTGGGAATTACTAAAAATCAACCAATGAGCAAAAATAGTCGCGCGTTTCACATTCTTAGTAGAACACGTAGGTCTACTAGCTTTGTACACACCCACCAAAATGTCCCTGCCCATCAACTATGATAAAATATGACCTTGAACCTTTCCATCTCTTATAGACAGGAGTCTACCACTTACCTTCCTATGTATGCTACTGTAAATATATCAAAATTATTGAATATTTAATGCACTACAGACAGTGATAAATAATAAATGAATTTCGCGCGCCAATTTATCATCGTCCGCCAGTATTGAGACAGCTGCATTCGATGCCCCTTTTAACAACAATCAGACATATGATAGTTTTCAGGCCAATCTGAATGATCACGATAAATGCTTTCAAGATGCGATTTTTCATAAAAACAGAGTGTCTGCATCCTTAAATGTATTATTACAATAATTTTGGCATGACAGTCCAGAAAAAAAAGTCGGACAATAAACAAAATGACAATTGTTGGGGGAAGTGTGGACTATGTAGGAATTTTTAAAAGTAAAAGACGATTCGAATTTCTCTTGTCAGCCCGTGAAAAGGTCGGCCCAGTTGTAGCTTTGAAGTCAATGTAGTACAGGGCGTGATGAACACGTCGTCTGTATATGAAAAATAGTAGGGCAGGTGTCACACTACTATATTCTGACGGCGAGAAAACCGAAATATGTATGTAAGGGAAACTATCTTTATCTTTGATAGAATCCATGTATTACGTTATTATCATTCCTTACTGAAAACTTGCCTGAAAGTCAGGTTAACCAAAGAATGACAAGTAGGAAACTATCGTCTGACTTGTAGGAACCAAAGAAATGATATCGCTTAAGCTTTAAGTGAATTAAGGCACACATTATTCAATAGGCATCATCTGAGATTACCCAAAGTCTCGCGACTTTACATAAAATTAAGCAAGTTTTCGTGGAATTTAGAGGCAATGGGGGTCAGAAGTAATGGCAGACTAGCAATTGCGGTGCAGCAACGAATAAAAAGTGACAGAATTTTTCCACGGATATTTTTCTTGTCGTTCTGTTAAAAGTTTTGTCGAATAACAGTCTATTGCAAAATAATATGCACTCATCATATTTTGTCACTTAAGTGTTATTTTTCTTATTGCTTTCTAAAACGACATTCCCCGCGCACGAAGTTTCACCAAAGTTTCACCATTACAGACAAAAAGTTAACCCATCTTCTACGCGGATTTTTACGTTTTCTGGCCATGACGTCATCTCAGATTATTTCCATTCATATTACCGAATTTTCATTCAATGACATCTTTACTTGCAGTTATTTGTTAATGGTTTAAAAGAACTCTGAATCGTGCGTTTTCCACCTGTTGTCCAGCTCCCGTTCGCTCGCCCCAATTTTCCCACATATTCCTTCCAGCTACGAAAACAATCCCAGGCTAGCATGTGGTATAGAAAACATCGAACCAGGAACGCGGCACGAATTACGTGGACAGGCAAATATAAGCAACGCAGCAAAACAACGCAGAGATCACCCCATTCCACCTGTTGCAGGGCTGATGCCGTGAATAGATGCTAATTTGATTCACCCAACTGAAAAACAAAAAATCAGAGAAGGGTTATACTTGGTCGCACCACTAACATGTATGCTGTATTAATACAAATCAAGTCAAATCAAGAAAGTTATTTTCTGGCCCAGTGGATGGCTTGACCAAGTGGCGTTCAACAAGCACAATATCAAAATCTCAGCCTGAGCTGATACAGAGAACAACGCACATTATACTATAAACTCAGGCTGTCCACGCCCTACGTACTGCGTTAGGCTCAATGATATTTCGTATGAAAATCAAAACAGACAAAAATAATCAGAAACAAATTCGATGTAGATGTTTATCTTAACTATGCATTACATACGAAAATTAACGCAAAAATAATGAAAAATAACAATAATAAAAATACAAAGAGGCTAACTCTAACTCTCTCTCTCTCTCTCTCTCTCTCTCTCTCTCTCATATGATTGACCTTGATTCACTTCTGGATGTTGTTAACCAGTGGACCTGTAAAAAAGGGGGGGGGGGGGTAAGGGGGTGGAGTCAAAAAACTTCCCAAAGTAATCCATTGTTAAGAACCTATCTGGACCCAGTAAACTCGGTGGCCGCAAAAGCAGGTCTCTCCTATTCTTTTCGGTACGCTTTATATATGTGATAGGAAATGAAAAGTATCTTATGTAAAAAGCCACTATAACAAAATCTAACACTCAAAGTTAAAGTATCTGTTAATCCCGGAAACCCCACGTGTGCTGCCGTAGGCGAATGGACATTTTAATTTATTTTGTTGTGAACAAATTCTAAATTCTGACCCAAGATGAAATATAAGTGATTTCTACTGGATTATAGGTGTGTACTCTGAAAATGGCAGCGATGAAAACCCAGCTGTGTAAAGCTATGGAGAGGAAGATATAAATGTCCAGCTATTGTTACACGAGTTTTGAGGGGTTTAGAAATTCATCATCCATTGGATAGACTGGAAAACGTATTTGCTTAAATCGTTTGTTCACCATGAACCTCTCCGACCGCCGTGTTTGTCTGGACACAAAAGCCATGCCGTTTTAAGAATAGAATTATGCTGATGAAAAATAGAATAACAATACAAACACATACACGGGGTACCGATTACAGCTTATATGGACGGGCAATTAATATCAATACGGCGATATTAGTAAACTCGAGCATACGGCCTTAACTCCTTTGATCCAGAACTGTATGAAGAGATCGATCTAACTTCGATTTTCACCGTACTGAAAGACCTGCATAATTGAATGCTGAAAGATTTTATCATACGAAACCCGCTTTATAAAATTTTGAAGTCAGATGGAAAATGCGGTGAATAGTCACGTGAAAGGTTCCATTTCCTGAGTCCCGATACAATCAAAGAAACGACATGGCACTGCCTCGGATAATACACGCTACACAATTAACAGCCGAAACTAAAAGGACTACTTAAAATACCTGGGATACCTGCGGCACATTATTATTCATAAAGTGAGGAATGTATATTATAAGCAAATAATCAGAGACTGAAGTCGATCTGTAACGGCTGTCGGTTGGAGTTTTTAGTTTATGACAAGCATGAAAGTTTATATGTATTTCCCTACCCGCACGAATGCTAGACCCGCACCGTCGCACACAGTTCTCTGCATTCTATTCAATTAATCGCATGTGATATCTGATGCCTAGTAATAACACGGGAGAGCTAGGGAAGATGGTGATCGTGCGATGTGTCCCCAGCCAGTACAGGCCATGAGCGCGGAGTTTTACCTGGGGTCCAACAGCGACTCCGACACGCACAGTGACCACACAGGTAGATTAGCTGGGGACGCAAGTGGTGACCAACAAGACGACGGACAATTATTACAACATGGGAGTGGTCAAATTGGTCTGAAGGCTGTCATAAACCCATTAAACGCTGGAGGGATCGGCAGTCTAGGATCTATATGGTATGAGGAGAGGCGCGGACGCACCGTCGGGAAAGGAAGAAGTCTCAGTAGCGACACGTTGCTTAGCCAAAAGGCCAACTACGTCAATGTTGACATGAGAGAGTCGGTGCTTATAGCAAACGCGCAGCGTCACTTCTATCGGACTACCTCAACACAAGAGGGACAACAACGCTCGTACGCTGGTTACAATGACAGGTTACTCATACCACAGAACGGTCTCACAGTGGAAGACAGTAATGTTCTCATGCTAGTAGATCACACAGGTGTTAGAAAAAGTGCAGAGATAAAAACCACAGAGACACCAGGGTCTCAGCGCCCATTTGAAACCCATATGGGGGCCCAGAGTCAACACCGTGACCGGCCGTTAAGCGACAACATGAGTAAATGGGGAAATGGACACCGGTATAGCGGGGCAGTTAATAGCCATTGGTCAGGGCACTCTGATCCCAGTGACCGGGGTAGCAGCAGTGGAGAAAGGAATGGCATCAGTTATACACTCGGGAAAGGAGCAAATCTACCAAGAAACTGGACTAGTCCAGAGTTCAGCACACTGGACAGTCCTAGGACTGATTACAGCCAGTCTGGTGTTAATGTACTGTCAGAGAACATGAGTGAGATCGGGTCTCCCTGGTCATCGAGGGGGAGACCACGCAATGACCCACAAATGACACTTGACGTCCACACTGAAAGGCACTCCTTCCCCAGACAATGGACAAGTCCATCTTTAAGATACGAAGACGGGTTCACAAGTCACTCGAAGATACAAAATAACAGAAAGCGCAACAAAGAATTTGATTATCTCACAGATGCTCGGGTGGCCGTTGTGAAAAACTCGGAGACACGCACTGGTGAGGGTGAAGGACATGGTGCATTCATGCGGCAGCACTCGTATGACAGCACTTTTCAAAATGTAACGTCTAACGTGGACAGAGAAAGACTCGAGGATGGGGTGCACAGGGCCACGAGGCCCACTTTAAAGCATAGTATAAGTTCAGAACCGAACTTCATGCGACCAAGGACTTACTTCACCTCCACAGGGGGCCATCCCCGAAGTCGGTCGGAGGGATCCCGGGAAGAGGAGGAGGAGGATGCAGACGATGGGGGGTTTCTCTCTTGGAGCCCCCGGGGCCGCAAAATACCACGGAACAGGCCATCGTTGCAGAGGAAAACTGGTCTCACAAAAATCACAGAAAATTTAGGACTGGTGCTATCTAATCGTAAAAAGACTTCCCATTACAGTTCAGAGTCGGATTTACAGGGATATTATGGATATTTTACAGATGAGGATAATAAAGATGACGACGACGTTGACAATGATGATTACGGGTTTCTTAGCTCTAGCACGGGTTCGTTTACAAACCTCACTTCTTATTCTTCTTTAGCTATGCAGAAGGAACGATCCCCAAGCACCAGTAGAAGAATTCTACCGAAGAAATGGAGAAAACAAAAACCACCATCCACTGCCAGCACCACGCAGATGTGGACGGCCGAGGTGAGTACTGTCGACCTTGAATCTGAGTAAATATTCTGTTTCTAAATCAATTCTTATCGCCACCCTCCTCCCCATCCCTTCCTCTCTCGAAAAAAATCTTTTCAAATTGGTGATCATGTTCATCTTGAGTAGGCTATACATATATATTATCAATACTTTTTTGTTATAATGAAAGAAGTGGCCGTAGTTACAAGCAAAGTATGATAGCAGAGGTCAAAAAGATCATTAAAATCCCACGTTTGAGTATTAGAAATACAGGTAGCCTAACAATCCATTGAGCTGTATAAATATCACCCCTTGCCAAAACTTACTGGTAATTTGTTAATTTGAGACTGAAATCATTTCAGTAAGGAATAAGGTGTCGTATTCTACAGGTATTATACTGGCATAGCTGGGTTTATAAACAATGACAGTCTGTCAAAAAAACTTTTGCGTTTTCTCATTTATTTTCTAATACCTGACTCATTTATGAATTATTTCATATGTTCTTTATTCAAAATCCGAGTCAAAAACGTACATCACTGCACAGCTGCTCTGTTTCTTCCCCATGTGCCTGTGTGCACATCTTCAGGAAGGCTCATGTTCAGTTTTATTGTGAAACCACAGACGGGATCGGAATGCTAGCGTGGTTGTGGAGAAGGCCCTCCATTGCGTCGCATATAATGAGCCAGAAAAAAGTAAACACGGAATCTGAGCCCACCGGCTTTGCTCCCTACCATGACCGTTGCGAGCAGATTAGCTGTCGTAACACCCGGCTATATAATCTTGTAGCTCCTACACAAAACAGATTTAACCCAGAATTCATGCAGGTAGTAAAGGTAAGGAATTCACGTGTGAAAGTAAACCTTTTAAACATAAAAGAAGAAAAGATAACAAAACATCACCGCACGTGCAAACAGCCCCCAAAAAGTTAACCCTTTGTTTGCCGGGTATTAGAGCAACAGCTGAGTTCCCTTTCTTTGATTGAATGAATGCACTAGGCTCAAATGAGGTTTGATAGTTTAAGAAACAAAACACTGTGAGCTGACAGTTTCAGGTAACACGCTTTCTGCCTAGACGCCGTATCAGTTTCTAAGGTCAGGTGTCTTTCTCTAGAGCTGTTATTCGTAACAAAACTCTGTTGAATCGAAGTGCTAGGAAAAATTACATCATGCCCTCAATGTTGGCTATATTTACTTATCGGATCACTTTTGTTCGATATTATAACGCGCTTTCATATTGCTGCTGCATACCATACACTATTTGCATGTGGTATTATTGAAAGAATCTGTTTCTTTTAGAATTTAATTACTAAAATTTACCTTAGTCTGTTTGTTGGGGCCAAATTCGCAGATTAGGAAAAGCTTACAAACAAATACAAATTACATCGGCAATTGCTGTGCATGAAGAAGTAAGGAATTTTAATAGCGTTTGTTTAATGATTTTAGTCCTAAGCTAATATATCTTGGTTTCGAGATGTCAAAGCACACTGTGGGCGGACTACCACTAAACACGGTGTCCTTAACTTCTTCTTGAGATAGGGAATCGTTTACACAGTTAAACCACTAATGGCTGACCGACACGCACGGGGGAAGGCCCCTCGTCTCCTCCATATTGCAAAAACACCTCGACAATGACTTTATAATTAATGGTTTCAGGGAAATCTCAGGGGGAATATTTTTGAAAATTGCTGCAATTACTTTAATAGCATGGGTACTAAAATACCTCAGGGTCATGGGCTTATGATTTTGGAATGTTTTAACACTCCTTGAAGTTTTGATATTGGACAATATATACGCAGCTATTGATATAATGCCATGTTGGCATATTCATAGTTTTGTCTGATGTCTAAATTTTATCTGTGGTCATCGGAAAATGATTCATTTTCTTACACATGAGATTGGGGAGGGGGCATAATTTTAGAGAGTTGTATCGATTTTCTCTGTTCGATAAAGTCGTAAACAGCATATGTGAAATAAACTGAATAAAGAGGACATTGTATTATAAATAGGGTGGGTGGGGGTAAGGGGTGGGTGGGGAAGGGGGTGGCCCAGGAGGTGGGTACTGCCTAAATTTAAAAGATGCGTGGACTGATATTTTCGCTGCTCGTCCTTGTAGTGCTCGTGCTCGTCAAAGGTGAAAAGTGAAACATGGGGATTTGTGAATATAGTGGACTTTTGGTCTGCCAATACTTATCAGAGAGTCACTGGAGGTTCATTGCACTCAAAGTACGCCAACCCATGAACCTGCCCCACTCCTAACTGAACCAGAAATGCTGTTATATTAACCCCCAAAAACCCTTTAATCAAGGGTAGTACTTTGAAGTTATTTCGAATATCTTTTTTTGGTATTTTATTTTCTGTCATAAACTGCTCGTTCTACTTTTTTAAAAAAATAAGTATCTGAACTGGATAATTTAATGTAAAAAGGCTATGGATTGCAAAAGGATTAAAAAGAGAGGCTATAATGACAGTGGGCTAGGGACACTAGAGTTAGGATACCATTACGACATGATGTGGAGCCCAGAATTTACCTCAATTTGATGTTACATGATGGTTAAATGCTGATGGTTTCAAACGTCGGTCAGTTGGTCAGGTAAACAATGAAACGGTCTTATGTCACAACCCTCTTTTTTACGAGTCCCAACCTAGTGTTATGTCCTAAGTTAATGTGCGTATGTTAAAAGTCTTAGGAGGCAAGACTGCAATAGAAGGCGAGTTACGTCCTATAAAGACGAAATTTGAGAAAAGATGTTGTACTCCAAAAGATGACAAACGCCGCTGCGTGTGGAAACAAAAGCGATTTTAAGGCCGCGGGTGCCGTGAAAGTGTTTGTCCCTATTTCTTGAGCTCGTTATCGATTTTGGTAAATATCTCGATCTGCATAGGCCACAGTTCGATTCTTTGAATCAATATTGATTGGGGCTGTAACCCTATACTGTCGTGTCCGGCCCCCCTGGGTCCATACTGTGCATTTGATAGCCGAGATGGCCATACACGATAAGGACTATACATTTACTGGCGTCAATAATAAAGGGTGGGTGTGGTCTGTCCGGGGAAAATGGCTCTCTGGCATGAAAGGTGTAATCATTGTTAGGAACTGATTACATAGTCGCCTTTTTCGATACAAAATTCACGATATATCTTAACTTGCTTGGTGTAAGTTGAAAGAATCATAGAAAAGGCCAGTGTAAAAGCTAATTAAACAAAACATCTGGGCAAGAGACACACTGGATATAGTCATTAGAATATAAAACTCTAGAATAGTCTCAGTTTTATTGGGGGACAATTATAATAAAACACAAATAGGTGTTTTTATTCTTGATGACATTTCAAGCCAGAGCATTTACCGTTTTATAGTCAAACCAGCAGGCACGGCGCATCACGTGTTGTTAAGCAGTGAAATACTAGTAGTTAAACATGTAAGGATGAATCAGCGATCCATACCTGTATCATTAAGTTCAAATTGAGGTCACCATTCTCTAATTTAACGATTACCGTTTCCTGTGAGTTTAACTTAATTCTATTAATTACAGTACGGGTGTGCAGACGCATCCTCTCTTACTCCGCACCCTCTAGCCAATACAAGAAACACCAAATTCAGTTAGACACTCAGAAAACAGGTTGGGGCTTTAAACGCGACGTAAGACGACAAAATCAATTTGCCAATTATTTGATTGCCCGAAAAAGCAGTACAGTTCGATAATAGTTCCGATTTTACCTTGAGAGGGAGTGGGCAAAAAATACGTGAATCAGCTGAGAACGTAATGATTAAATTACACAGATAAGTTCAAATCGGTTCCATGACACGTAGAAAAACTTGCCGCAGCTTGCATCGCGTCAAAACTACTTTATTCACACAACTTTGAACGTAAAAAAAAAAAACCTTTTGTGTTTTACGAGGTCTTAACTATTATTTTTTTCCATGCTGGCATATTATAATCACAAAGAACTTGACCATCAACTGTCCCAATGTAGGAGTTGACTATATAAACCCATCTCAACTCCTTTTATGTCCTGAAACTCTCCTTTAAAGTCGGATACACGTCTTTTTTCTTTCTTTTTTTTTCTGGAGTAAGAACCAAACTGATGATACGCCGACCCTGCGGTTAAACACATTCCAAAATAATGATACTTGCTCTCTGCGGCTATCCATCCCGACGCTGTGTACACAATGTACTTGATGAAGTGTTATCATAATATTTGCAGCAAGGCAGAATTCGTGACTTTCATAGCTTTTTGCTGTCGATATGAAAAATAGAATACATATTAATAACAAAACGAAAAAAAAACATTTTAAGAAGATTGCATTTGTATCATGACAAATTTATGTCAGTTTCCCAGTTTCTTTTTCTTGATATATTGGATCTCAACAAACAACAAATGCAAGAAAAAAGTCTATATACCAACATTGTAGTTTATTTTATAACTTAATCATTGTTTGGCCATAATTCCAATAAATGAACATACGGTAGTTGAGCGATATTACTACTGCAACGAACACTGGCAATATTGTAAATACCACCGTGCAGCAAATACGTCATCATGTTTATATACACCAATTAATCAGTACACCCAAGCCTAATAGTTCTAACTCTATGAAAACTGACATGAAAATAGAGTTCACAAGAGTTCACTTCCAGCAGGCAATTCTTCATTTGGTGGGTCCCAACGTCTGTTGTAATTATTCTGTCACCGCTATATTAAGTGTTGTGATCCCCGACTGTTGGGTATATCTTATTATACCCATTACATGACGGAATAGATCCTGTTCCAATTTATAGTAATTGTACTTACATAGTGTATAACAGCAGTCTGCTGAAAACACTTACCTGTGAACCCACAAGCTAAAATTCCTATTCAAGTCTTATGAAAATATGAAGTATGAAATTTCAAAATATTTGTATTAAATTCTTAGACAATTGCGCTAAAGGATGTAACTCCTTCCTGCGACGAATAGCACGCTTTATTCATCCAAGCTCCTTCAGGCTACTTGGTAATAAAATTAGATTTTTCATGTTC